CCCGGCTCTAAGACGGACGGACCGATCGAGTTTCACACGAGAAACGGGCGGGCAACTCTTGCTGCACGCCCAGTCGATGGCCGGGGCAGGGCGGGGTCAATATTTTCATAGCGGTGTGGCGTTTGGTCGACTGACGGTTTGACCTACAGATATCGTGACGTCTTTACCTTGATTTTGGTGTAGCATGCGTGCGTGTGTGTGTGGTCTAGTGTTGTGTGGGTGTGTTGTGAATGTGTGTATGTGTCTGGCTGAGCTGTTGTGTGTGTACGTGTGCACCCATACACAAGTAGCTACCCCAACATAACACCCATACACAAGTAGCTACCCCAACATAACACCCATACACAAGTAGCTACCCCAACATAACACCCATACACAAGTAGCTACCCCAACATAACACCCATACACAAGTAGCTACCCCAACATAACCATACACAAGTAGGCTACCCCAGATAACACTTAAGCCTACAATTCTCGTGCCGGTTGCCTCCTGTGGCCAGACTGGAAGCGGCGAATGAGGAGGCTGCCCATCCAATCACACTCCATTCATAGAGCTACAAAAGTTATGCCCCGTTCTGACGTCTCAAAAAGCGCACTATGTTATTGAGCGGATGAATTGCCCCAACTGAGTGAATCATCTCGCGTCGTGCGGAGTTATCTTGTTAGTTTCTCAAATTGTAAGGGAAAGGTTAAGCAATTAGGGAAAAGGGTTAGGGTTGGGGGATTTAGACAAAAAACGTCCAAACCAATCATAATCTAAACAAAAAAAATTTCTAAGATTAGAGAACTCTGTACAATTTTCCTCCCTCAAATAATTTTTTTTTAAAAATTCCACAACTGCAGCCAAAAATAATTTTTACACAACTCAATGTCGACTTTCTCAGATGTAGGGGTCTCTCCACCCTCACACAATGTAGCAGCGGTCTCTCCACCCTCACACAATGTAGCAGCGGTCTCTCCACCCTCACACCCGCCCACACAATGTAGCAGCGGTCTCTCCACCCTCACACCCACCCACACAATGTAGCAGCGGTCTCTCCACCCTCACACCCGCCCACACAATGTAGCAGCGGTCTCTCCACCCTCACACCCACCCACACAATGTAGCAGCGGTCTCTCCACCCTCACACCCGCCCACACAATGTAGCAGCGGTCTCTCCACCCTCACACCCGCCCACACAATGTAGCAGCGGTCTCTCCACCCTCACACCCACCCACACAATGTAGCAGCGGTCTCTCCACCCTCACACCCGCCCACACAATGTAGCAGCGGTCTCTCCACCCTCACACCCGCCCACACAATGTAGCAGCGGTCTCTCCACCCTCACACCCACCCACACAATGTAGCAGCGGTCTCTCCACCCTCACACCCACCCACACAATGTAGCAGCGGTCTCTCCACCCTCACACCCGCCCACACAATGTAGCAGCGGTCTCTCCACCCTCACACCCGCCCACACAATGTAGCAGCGGTCTCTCCACCCTCACACCCACCCACACAATGTAGCAGCGGTCTCTCCACCCTCACACCCACCCACACAATGTAGCAGTTGTCTCTCCACCCTCACACCCACCCACACAATGTAGCAGCGGTCTCTCCACCCTCACACAATGTAGCAGCGGTCTCTCCACCCTCACACCCACCCACACAATGTAGCAGCGGTCTCTCCACCCTCACACCCACCCACACAATGTAGCAGCGGTCTCTCCACCCGCCCACACAATGTAGCAGCGGTCTCTCCACCCTCACACCCACCCACACAATGTAGCAGCGGTCTCTCCACCCGCCCACACAATGTAGCAGCGGTCTCTCCACCCTCACACAATGTAGCAGCGGTCTCTCCACCCTCACACCCACCCACACAATGTAGCAGCGGTCTCTCCACCCTCACACCCGCCCACACAATGTAGCAGCGGTCTCTCCACCCTCACACAATGTAGCAGCGGTCTCTCCACCCTCACACCCACCCACACAATGTAGCAGCGGTCTCTCCACCCGCCCACACAATGTAGCAGCGGTCTCTCCACCCTCACACCCACCCACACAATGTAGCAGCGGTCTCTCCACCCGCCCACACAATGTAGCAGCGGTCTCTCCACCCTCACACAATGTAGCAGCGGTCTCTCCACCCGCCCACACAATGTAGCAGCGGTCTCTCCACCCTCACACAATGTAGCAGCGGTCTCTCCACCCTCACACCCGCCCACACAATGTAGCAGCGGTCTCTCCACCCTCACACAATGTAGCAGCGGTCTCTCCACCCTCACACCCACCCACACAATGTAGCAGCGGTCTCTCCACCCTCACACCCGCCCACACAATGTAGCAGCGGTCTCTCCACCCTCACACCCACCCACACAATGTAGCAGCGGTCTCTCCACCCTCACACCCGCCCACACAATGTAGCAGCGGTCTCTCCACCCTCACACCCACCCACACAATGTAGCAGCGGTCTCTCCACCCTCACACCCGCCCACACAATGTAGCAGTTGTCTCTCCACCCTCACACCCACCCACACAATGTAGCAGCGGTCTCTCCACCCTCACACCCACCCACACAATGTAGCAGCGGTCTCTCCACCCTCACACCCACCCACACAATGTAGCAGCGGTCTCTCCACCCTCACACAATGTAGCAGCGGTCTCTCCACCCTCACACCCACCCACACAATGTAGCAGCGGTCTCTCCACCCGCCCACACAATGTAGCAGCGGTCTCTCCACCCTCACACCCACCCACACAATGTAGCAGCGGTCTCTCCACCCTCACACAATGTAGCAGCGGTCTCTCCACCCTCACACCCACCCACACAATGTAGCAGCGGTCTCTCCACCCTCACACAATGTAGCAGCGGTCTCTCCACCCTCACACCCACCCACACAATGTAGCAGCGGTCTCTCCACCCTCACACCCACCCACACAATGTAGCAGCGGTCTCTCCACCCTCACACCCACCCACACAATGTAGCAGCGGTCTCCCCACCCTCACACCCGCCCACACAATGTAAAGACAACACTACTAAGATAGCAGTTAGACAACACAAGTGGCAGGACAGCATTGTTTTATTTTAAAATTTAACTCACTCATTAATGTACAGACCACCAAACAGTCGGGGTGAGTCACCTGACTCCACACAGACCACCAAACTGTCGGGGCGAGTCACCTGACTCCACACACACCACCAACAATCTACCCTCTATCATCTTTTCCAAATACACCAACACAACAGACTGACCCATTTAAAATAGACTGACCGCTTCAAAATCAACTGACCAATTTATAATCAAGTGGCTTTTAAAAAATAGACTAATCAGTTTTGAAATGATGTACATGAGTTCAATTATCCAGTGAGATTAAAAAAAATGGCTGCGTCCATTTCACCCCTCATCTGTCTCTGATCTTACACACCGTTTTTATCTGATGAAACTTTCGCTTGGTGGGACAACCCCCACCCCCACCTCTAATTGATGCTTATTGATGGCTTTTATTATCACAGATCACATCACACACCTAAAAATGTGCTTCAAGATGAACAAGATTCACACGATGAAATTACAGCGTTAATATCAAATGACGTCACTCAAAGATTGAGACGCCTAATATCAAATGACGTCAAAGATTGAGACGACTCTAATATCAAATGACGTCAAAGATTGAGACGACTCTAATATCAAATGACGTCAAAGATTGAGACGACTCTAATATTAAATGACGTCAAAGATTGAGACGACTCTAATATCAAATGACGTCAAAGATTGAGATGACTCTAATATCAAATGACGTCAAAGATTGAGATGACTCTAATATCAAATGACGTCAACGATTGAGACGACTCTAATATCAAATGACGTCAAAGATTGAGACGACTCTAATAACAAATGACGTCAAAGATTGAGACGACTCTAATATCAAATGACGTCAAAGATAGAGACGACTCTAATATCAAATGACGTCAAAGATTGAGATGACTCTAATATCAAATGACGTCAACGATTGAGACGACTCTAATATCAAATGACGTCAAAGATTGAGACGACTCTAATAACAAATGACGTCAAAGATTGAGACGACTCTAATATCAAATGACGTCAAAGATAGAGACGACTCTAATATCAAATGACGTCAAAGATTGAGACGACTCTAATATTAAATGACGTCAAAGATTGAGACGACTCTAATATCAAATGACGTCAAATATTAATATCAAATGACGTCAAAGATTGAGACGACTCTAATAACAAATGACGTCAAAGATTGAGACGACTCTAATATCAAATGACGTCAAAGATAGAGACGACTCTAATATCAAATGACGTCAAAGATTGAGACGACTCTAATATTAAATGACGTCAAAGATTGAGACGACTCTAATATCAAATGACGTCAACTATTAATATCAAATGACGTCAAAGATTGAGACGACTCTAATAACAAATGACGTCAAAGATTGAGACGACTCTAATATCAAATGACGTCAAAGATAGAGACGACTCTAATATCAAATGACGTCAAAGATTGAGACGACTCTAATATTAAATGACGTCAAAGATTGAGACGACTCTAATATCAAATGACGTCAAATATTAATATCAAATGACGTCAAAGATTGAGACGACTCTAATAACAAATGACGTCAAAGATTGAGACGACTCTAATATCAAATGACGTCAAAGATAGAGACGACTCTAATATCAAATGACGTCAAAGATTGAGACGACTCTAATATTAAATGACGTCAAAGATTGAGACGACTCTAATATCAAATGACGTCAACTATTAATATCAAATGACGTCAAAGATTGAGACGACTCTAATAACAAATGACGTCAAAGATTGAGACGACTCTAATATCAAATGACGTCAAAGATAGAGACGACTCTAATATCAAATGACGTCAAAGATTGAGACGACTCTAATATTAAATGACGTCAAAGATTGAGACGACTCTAATATCAAATGACGTCAAATATTAATATCAAATGACGTCAAAGATTGAGACGACTCCATCAAAGACTGATACCCCAGCTGTGAGAGCCAGTCAGGAGAAACCCGATTGCTTGTAGAAGTTGTAGAGTTTGCTGATGGCCACAATGTAGGCGGCCGTGCGGAGGTCAAGGCCGAGGTTGAAGCTTTTGGCCGTGGCCATGATGTCGGCTGCTGCCCTCTCCATCGTCTGCTCCAGACCAGAGTGGACAATGTCCTTCTCTGACGCTCCTGATGCAAAACACAACATTAGATTTATGGAGGAATGTGTGGGCCTAAACCTACCTACGAGAAACCTATCTATGAGAAACCTACTTATGAGAAACCTATCTATGAGAAACCTATCTATGAGAAACCTACCGAAACCTATCTATGAGAAACCTACTTATGAGAAACCTATCTATGAGAAACCTATCTATGAGAAACCTACCGAAACCTATCTATGAGAAACCTACCGAAACCTATCTATGAGAAACCTATCTATGAGAAACCTATCTATGAGAAACCTACCGAAACCTATCTATGAGAAACCTACCGAAACCTATCTATGAGAAACCTATCTATGAGAAACCTACCTATGAGAAACCTACCAAAACCTACCTATGAGAAACCTACCTATGAGAAACCTACCTATGAGAAACCTACCAAAACCTACCTATGAGAAACCTACCTATGAGAAACCTACCTATGAGAAACCTACCAAAACCTACCTATGAGAAACCTACCTATGAGAAACCTACCTATGAGAAACCTACCTATGAGAAACCTACCTATGAGAAACCTACCTATGAGAAACCTACCTATGAGAAACCTACCTATGAGAAACTTACCTGTGATCCGAGCCTGGAACTCCTCACTAGGGAGGATGTTGATCTTGCGGACACCCTGCACGGAGTCATCGCCCACCCAGCTGTTGATGGACTTCTGGACACTGGTCAATTCAGGTATAGGACAATCATGTGAACATAGGACAATCACGTGACAACAGGACAATGACGGCTAAGGACAATGACGACATAGGACAGGGGTCTCCAAACTTTTCAGTCAGAGGGCCACATTAACTATCAAATTTCAGTTCGGTGGCCATTTAATTCCAAAATTGTCTGATTTTTCTGGGCAAAGTTCCTCAGCCATCATCAACTTTTTTTCCGTGGACAAAATGATCTCCGCGGGCCGGATAAGAGGACCTTGCGGGCCGCATCCGGCCCGCGGGCCGTAGTGTGGAGACCCCTGACATAGGACAATGACGGCACAGGACAATCACGTGATCACAGGCCACCCGGCTGAGAGAGTCACGAGACTCACCTGTTGAGCAGGTGAAAGTTGGCGTCACGCTCGTACTTGAAGGTGAGGCGTCCAAAGCTGACGTGGTTCAAGTTTTTCAACCACTCGAAGTAGGAGACCGTCACCCCGCCGGCGTTGATGTAGAGGTCAGGGATGACCAGCACCTTGCGCTCGAGCAAAATGGCGTCAGCGGTGGGCGTGGTCGGCCCGTTGGCCCCCTCGGCCACAATCTTGGCCTGCACAGATCACGTTATGTTTCAGTAGAAATGGCCATAGGTTGATGGAATTTAGTCAAGTACATGGGGCCATACTAAGCACCAACTGACCCATGCACCAACTGACCCGTACACCAACTGACCCATGCAGCAATTGACCCATGCACCAACTGACCCGTACACCAACTGACACATGCATCAACTGACCCATGCACCAACTGACCTTCAACTCGCTGGCGACCTTGGCTGTGATCTGCTTCTCGTTGGCCGCAGGCACCAAGATGTCACACTTGTGGGTCAGCAGATTCCCGGGGTAGGGCTGGGCTCCCGGGAACCCCACGATGGTGCCGTGTTCCTTCTTGTACCTCATGAGGGCCTGGGGGTCGATCCCATCCGGGTTGTAAATGTTGCCGTCAATTTCAGCCACCCCCGTGCACACAGACCCCGCCCTGTGAAGGTATCGCATGGTGTGAAAACCCACATTCCCTAGACCCTGTGGATGGAAGATGAAAACCCACATTCCCTAGACCCTGTGGATGGAAGATGAAAACCCACATTCCCTAGACCCTGTGGATGGAAGATGAAAACCCACATTCCCTAGACCCTGTGGATGGAAGATGAAAACACACATTCCCTAGACCCTGTGGATGGAAGATGAAAACCCACATTCCCTAGAACCTGTGGATGGAAGATGAAAACCCACATTCCCTAGACCCTGTGGATGGAAGATGAAAACCCACATTCCCTAGACCCCGTGGATGGAAGATGAAAACCCACATTCCCTAGACCCTGTGGATGGAAGATGAAAACCCACATTCCCTAGACCCCGTGGATGGAAGATGAAAACCCACATTCCCTAGACTGGATGGAAGATGAAAACCCACATTCCCTAGACCCTGTGGATGGAAGATGAAAACCCACATTCTCTAGACCCTGTGGATGGAAGATGAAAACCCACATTCCCTAGACTGGATGGAAGATGAAAACCCACATTCCCTAGACCCTGTGGATGGAAGATGAAAACCCACATTCCCTAGACTGGATGGAAGATGAAAACCCACATTCCCTAGACCTTGTGGATGGAAGATGAAAACCCACATTCCCTAGACCCTGTGGATGGAAGATAAAAACCCACATTCCCTAGACCCCGTGGATGGAAGATGAAAACCCACATTCCCTAGACTGGATGGAAGATGAAAACCCACATTCCCTAGACCCTGTGGATGGAAGATGAAAACCCACATTCCCTAGACCCTGTGGATGGAAGATGAAAACCCACATTCCCTAGACCCTGTGGATGGAAGATGAAAACCCACATTCCCTAGACCCTGTGGATGGAAGATGAAAACCCACATTCCCTAGACTGGATGGAAGATGAAAACCCACATTCCCTAGACCCTGTGGATGGAAGATGAAAACCCACATTCCCTAGACCCTGTGGATGGAAGATGAAAACCCACATTCCCTAGACCCTGTGGATGGAAGATGAAAACCCACATTCCCTAGACCCTGTGGATGGAAGATGAAAACCCACATTCCCTAGACCCTGTGGATGGAAGATGAAAACCCACATTCCCTAGACCCTGTGGATGGAAGATGAAAACCCACATTCCCTAGACCCTGTGGATTGAAGATGAAAACCCACATTCCCTAGACCCTGTGGATGGAAGATGAAAACCCACATTCCCTAGACCCTGTGGATGGAAGATAAAAACCCACATTCCCAAGACCCTGTGGATGGAAGATGAAAACCCACATTCCCTAGACCCTGTGGATGGAAGATGAAAACCCACATTCCCTAGACCCTGTGGATGGAAGATGAAAACCCACATTCCCTAGACCCTGTGGATGGAAGATGAAAACCCACATTCCCTAGACCCTGTGGATGGAAGATGAAAACCCACATTCCCTAGACCCTGTGGATGGAAGATGAAAACCCACATTCACTAGACTGGATGGAAGATGAAAACCCACATTCCCTAGACCCTGTGGATGGAAGATGAAAACCCACATTCCCTAGACCCTGTGGATGGAAGATGAAAACCCACATTCCCTAGACCCTGTGGATGGAAACATTAGCTGACATGAGCTGTCATGAGCTGTCATGAGCTGACATACCTGAACTATAAATTCCTTCTGATGAAACCCAGGTGCTAGTCCAATACTTTCCATATAGTCCGCGTTCATGATGAAGTTTTTGATGCCAAAGAAAACGCCTTTCCCAGTCGCCGAGATTCGCCCGTGTAGACCGCCCTGTAACAAGATGAAGAGTGTAGCCCGCCCTGTAACAAGATGAAGAGTGTAGCCCGCATTGTAACAAGAGTTATCGATCACTCAGGATCTCTGCCGGTCACCCAGCCAAGGCGGGAAGATTTGCATACAAGCTCCAGAAACTTATTTGAGTGCACGGTAGGCGCAGTGTTTCTTCCAGACTTTTTTCTCCGGGGGGGCACTTGAAATCTTCGGGGGGGCGGTAAACTTTCTTCGGGGGGGCGGACACTGTTAAAAGTATATATTTTCTATATAAATTATATAAATTTCATTTCGTTCGGGGGGGCGGTAAAATTTTTTCGGGGGGGCTTCGCCCCCCCCGAAGAGATGCCTGGAAGAAACTCTGGGTAGGCGGCGGTAGGTGGTGTATGCAAATATTCCAGAGCTACAGCTATTTATTATTTGTATGAAAGAAGAACATTGATGGCGACATGAACACAATTATTGAGCCAATGTTTTTGTGTGAATATTTCCCATTTGTTTGAACAGTTCATCCATTTCTAGTGTCTAAACTAGTAGCGTCCCTGTAATATTCCTACAGGTAAACATGCGACCTTCACAGATCTACTGCACTCTCAATTCAATTGGCATTTTGGACAGGTGGAAAACGAAAGCAGTTGAAGTCACTCACCTGCTTGATGGGCTTGCCTGTGAAGTCACTCACCTGCGTGATGGGCTTGCCTGTGACGTCACTCACCTGCGTGATGGGCTTGCCTGTGACGTCACTCACCTGCGTGATGGGCTTGCCTGTGACGTCACTCACCTGCTTGATGGGCTTGCCTGTGACGTCACTCACCTGCGTGATGGGCTTGCCTGTGACGTCACTCACCTGCGTGATGGGCTTGCCTGTGACGTCACTCACCTGCGTGATGGGCTTGCCTGTGACGTCACTCACCTGCGTGATGGGCTTGTCTGTGACGTCACTCACCTGCGTGATGGGCTTGCCTGTGACGTCACTCACCTGCGTAATGGGCTTGCCTGTGACGTCACTCACCTGCGTGATGGGCTTGCCTGTGACGTCACTCACCTGCGTGATGGGCTTGTCTGTGACGTCACTCACCTGCGTGATGGGCTTACCTGTGACGTCACTCACCTGCGTGATGGGCTTGCCTGTGACGCAGGCTCTGGCGTTGATGTCGCTGTAGCCGAGAGTGGTGGCGTAGGTGTCGGCTATCCAGCTCATCTCCCTCTCGCTGGTGCCCATGTCGGGGGCGGGCACGTCTATCCCGGGGTGGAGGAAACCTTTCTTGGCTAGCTCGGTGGTCAAGCGGCGGGTGATCCGCTCTAGCTCCGACACTGGGGACAGGCGGGTTGTAGGGTTAGGGTTGTGTGGGCGGGTTGTAGGGTTAGGGTTGTGTGGGCGGGTTGCTGGGTTAGGGTGGGCGGGTTGTAGGGTTAGGGTTGTGTGGGCGGGTTGTAGGGTTGTGTGGGCGGGTTGTAGGGTTAGGGTTGTGTGGGCGGGTTGTAGGGTTAGGGTTGTGTGGGCGGGTTGTAGGGTTGTGTGGGCGGTTTGCTGGGTTAGGGTGGGCGGGTTGTAGGGTTAGGGTTGTGTGGGCGGGTTGTAGGGTTGTGTGGGCGGTTTGCTGGGTTAGGGTGGGCGGGTTGCTGGGTTAGGGTGGTGTGGGTGGGTTGTAGGGTTGTGTGGGCGGTTTGCTGGGTTAGGGTGGGCGGGTTGCTGGGTTAGGGTGGTGTGGGTGGGTTGTAGGGTTGTGTGGGCGGTTTGCTGGGTTAGGGTGGGCGGGTTGCTGGGTTAGGGTGGTGTGGGTGGGTTGTAGGGTTGTGTGGGCGGTTTGCTGGGTTAGGGTGGGCGGGTTGCTGGGTTAGGGTGGTGTGGGTGGGTTGTAGGGTTGTGTGGGCGGTTTGCTGGGTTAGGGTGGGCGGGTTGCTGGGTTAGGGTGGTGTAGCGGGTTGATGGTGTAAGGACCCACCTGAATATAGTTTGGGGTCGATCCTGACCCCGGCTTTAGCGCCACCGAACGGAACGTTGACCAGGGCACACTTGTACGTCATCAGGGAGGCGAGGGCACAAACCTCGTCATAGTTGACGTTTGGGCTGAAACAAAAGGCAGACGTCAGATCTGATGTTACACGTCATCGTTATCTAACGCTTCTTTCTTCTCACCTAAAGATCCAGACTCACACAAAGACATCTGGAGACTCACCTGGAGACTCACCTGGAGACTCACCTGGAGACTCACGTGGAGACTCACCTGGAGACTCACCTGGAGACTCACGTGGAGACTCACCTGGAGACTCACGTGGAGACTCACATGGAGACTCACCTGGAGACTCACCTGGAAACTCACGTGGAGACTCACCTGGAGACCCACCTGGAGACTCACCTGGAGACCCACCTGGAGACTCACCTGGAGACCCACCTGGAGACTCACCTGGAGACCCACGTGGAGACTCACCTGGAGACTCACCTGGAGACCCACGTGGAGACTCACCTGGAGACTCACCTGGAGACTCACGTGGAGACTCACATGGAGACTCACCTGGAGACTCACCTGGAGACTCACCTGGAGACTCACGTGGAGACCCACCTTGAGACTCACCTGGAGACTCACGTGGAGACCCACCTTGAGACTCACCTGGAGACTCACCTGGAGACTCACCTGGAGACTCACCTGGAGACTCACGTGGAGACTCACCTGGAGACCCACCTGGAGACTCACCTAGAGACTCACCTGGAGACTCACCTGGAGACTCACCTAGAGACTCACCTGGAGACTCACCTGGAGACTCACCTGGAGACTCACGTGGAGACTCACCTGGAGACTCACCTGGAGACTCACCTGGAGACTCACCTGGAGACTCACCTTGAGACTCACCTGGAGACTCACCTGGAGACTCACCTGGAGACTCACCTGGAGACTCACGTGGAGACTCACCTGGAGACCCACCTGGAGACCCACCTAGAGACTCACCTGGAGACTCACCTGGAGACTCACCTGGAGACTCACGTGGAGACTCACCTGGAGACTCACGTGGAGACTCACGTGGAGACTCACCTGGAGACTCACCTGGAGACTCACGTGGAGACTCACCTAGAGACTCACCTAGAGACTCACCTAGAGACTCACATGGAGACCCACCTGGAGACTCACCTGGAGACTCACCTGTAGACTCACATGGAGACCCATCTGGAGACTCACCTGGAGACTCACCTGGAGACTCACCTGGAGACTCACCTAGAGACTCACCTGGAGACTCACGTGGAGACTCACGTGGAGACTCACCTGGAGACTCACGTGGAGACTCACGTGGAGACTCACCTGGAGACTCACCTAGAGACTCACCTGGAGACTCACATGGAGACCCACCTTGAGACTCACCTGGAGACTCACCTGGAGACTCACCTGGAGACTCACCTAGAGACTCACCTAGAGACTCACATGGAGACCCACCTGGAGACTCACCTGGAGACTCACCTGTAGACTCACCTGGAGACCCATCTGGAGACTCACCTGGAGACTCACCTGGAGACTCACCTGGAGACTCACCTAGAGACTCACCTGGAGACTCACGTGGAGACTCACGTGGAGACTCACCTGGAGACTCACCTAGAGACTCACCTGTAGACTTACCTAAAGCGAATGCCGCCCTTGCTGGGGGTGCGGTGCTGCTTGTGCTGTGCCCTGAAGGCGTGGACCAGCTCTGTGCTGCCGTCGTCACGCTGTAGAGGGAATGTGATGGACAGCACGTGCGAGCAGGGTTTGATGACAGACATGATGCCACGCACTTGCTTCATCTTGCGCTCCAAGGTTATAGGGTCAAGGTTACGTTTTCTGTTGATACAATAGTGGTCAGAACAGACGATTGGCTGGTCATAATCCTAATCTTAGCCCTGGTCATAAGCCTTATCCTAACCCTAGCCCTGGTCATAATCCTAACCCTAGCCCTGGTCATAAGCCTTATCCTAACCCTGGTCATAAGCCTAATCCTAACCCTGATCATAAGCCTAATCCTAGCTCTCGCCCTGTTCATAAGCCTAATCCTAACCTAGCCCTGATCATAATCCTAATCCTAGTCCTCGCCCTGATCATAAGCCTAATCCTAGCCTTGGTCATAATCCTAACCCTAGCCCTGGTCATAATCCTAACCCTAGCCCTGATCATAAACCTAACCCTAGCCCTGGTCATAATCCTAACCCTAGCCCTGATCTAAGCCTAATCCTAGTCTTCGCCCTGATCATAAGCCTAACCCTAGCCCTGATCATAAGCCTAACCCTAGCCCTGGTCATAATCCTAACCCTAGCCCTGATCATAAGCCTAACCCTAGCCCTGATCATAATCATAACCCTAGCCCTGGTCATAATCCTAACCCTAGCCCTGATCTAAGCCTAATCCTAGTCTTCGCCCTGATCATAAGCCTAACCCTAGCCCTGATCATAATCCTAACCCTAGCCCTGGTCATAATCCTAACCCTAGCCCTGATCATAAGCCTAACCCTAGCCCTGATCATAATCCTAACCCTAGCCCTGGTCATAATCCTAACCCTAGCCCTGATCATAAGCCTAACCCTAGCCCTGATCATAATCCTAACCCTAGCCCTGGTCATAATCCTAACCCTAGCCCTGGTCATAATCCTAACCCTAGCCCTGATCATAAACCTAACCCTAGCCCTGGTCATAATCCTAACCCTAGCCCTGATCTAAGCCTAATCCTAGTCTTCGCCCTGATCATAAGCCTAACCCTAGCCCTGATCATAATCCTAACCCTAGCCCTGGTCATAATCCTAACCCTAGCCCTGATCATAAGCCTAACCCTAGCCCTGATCATAATCATAACCCTAGCCCTGGTCATAATCCTAACCCTAGCCCTGATCTAAGCCTAATCCTAGTCTTCGCCCTGATCATAAGCCTAACCCTAGCCCTGATCATAATCCTAACCCTAGCCCTGGTCATAATCCTAACCCTAGCCCTGATCATAAGCCTAACCCTAGCCCTGATCATAATCCTAACCCTAGCCCTGGTCATAATCCTAACCCTAGCCCTGATCATAAGCCTAACCCTAGCCCTGATCATAAGCCTAATCCTAACCCTAGCCCTGATCATAAGCCTAATCCTAATCCTAATCCTGGCCCTAGCCCTGACCATAGACATGAAACTTGCCAAACAGAAACGAAACTTAACTGACCGATATCCTTCGGCAAGTTTTTCTTCCCATAGTATGACTGCTCGATCAACAAACTTGTCAATGAGCTGGGAAAACTTGACATTCTCATCGTCTGCCGGGCTCTCATTCGAGTGGTGTCGTCTGCTGTGGCGCCTGCCGGACAACAGGTTTGTCCAAACTGGCCTACCGAGAGCTCTGGGACGTTTGGTCCCCTCGACTAGAAAAGCCTGGCCACTGAAAGCCGAACATTTACTCAAGTGGCTACAAACTGATTTGAGCAGACGACCTCTGTACCCAGATGTGGATGCCAAGTGCCACCTGTTGGGCTGATGTTGCTGTAGTAGACGTGACAACATGGCTGACTTGCTCAACACAACACAAAACTTACGTCAAGAAAATGTCGAGCTTAGATCTTACGTTTTGTTCTCTTACGAATAGTCTCAAAGTTTCGATGACAGTACAGAAATGGAAAGTTGAGCTTGGATTCTAGCATTTCTTAATCCTCTAACCTACCCTAGGCTGAGAATCTCTGTCAGATAACACATGAACGCGATCTTCAATGTGAAACATGTCCGGATTAGAAAAGTGCTGACTACGTCACGATAACTTGAGTATTGTCCTTGTCAACAGCACACAATAATTTTATAACATACAAGCACGGGGTGCATATCTTGAGTCTAAATTCTGTTTCATTACTTTATGGTAACATATAACAGGTTGTACGTTTCCTGTGAATATATTGACAAACTTCGTGACAAGATTTTTAAAATATCTAGACAAATGTTGCATATCAAGGCGGATTTAGGTGCGCTTTAGCTGAAGATTTGTCTGCATGTTTGAGCGGTGCGCATGCCTGCTGAACGCGTTCAGGGTCAGATATTGTCAAAGAAACCACACACGGTAATACAGAGCTAAACAAAGCGTCGGAACATAATCTCTCAGTTGTAGTTGAAAGCAGCGAGTTTATTTCTCTAGAATCATCTAGATCTAGATTGGCCTCTAAATCTAGATCTGTGTTTTGAACAACCGGATTGTGGATACGTTACAAGGTTTGGCTTTCTAGCGGTAAAACAATGATCTCATACTTCAACTTCCGATACTGGAATTCCTTGTATAACATTTGCTGGGGGGGGGGGGGGGGGAATTGAAATTTGCGTTACGAGTTAGGGGTGGGGCGAGACATTTCTATACTTAATGTTCATATATTAGCCTAAAAATGATGTAGTCTATATAAGAATTAGCCTGGTGTTCTTGTATTTGCCTGTTGGTAGCTTTAAGCCGGGTGTTAGTTTTAAGGCCTGGTGTTAGTGGCCTAAAACTGAGGATTAGAGCAGAGATTAGCCATCAGATTAGCCATCAGATTAAACCGTTACCTACAGTCACATTCCTACACGAACTAAAAACTCACAAAATACAAACAAACAACTTAACCTGAATGTCTGTATAGTTTGATCACGTGACCTGAATGTCTGTATAGTTTGATCACGTGACCTGAATGTCTGTATAATTTGATCACTTGAATGTCTGTATAGTTTGATCACGTGACCTGAATGTCTGTATAGATTGATCACGTGACCTGAATGTCTGTATAGTTTGATCACGTGACCTGAATGTCTGTATAATTTGATCACATGAATGTCTGTATAGTCTGATCACGTGACCTGAATGTCTGTATAGATTGATCACGTGACCTGAATGTCTGTATAGTTTGATCACGTGACCTGAATGTCTGTATAGTTTGATCACGTGACCTGAATGTCTGTATAGATTGATCACGTGACCTGAATGTCTGTATAGTTTGATTACGTGACCTGAATGTCTGTATAATTTGATCACGTGACCTGAATGTCTGTATAGTTTGATCACTTGACCTGAATGTCTGTAGTTTGATCACGTGACCTGAATGTCTGTATAGATTGATCACGTGACCTGAATGTCTGTATAGATTGATCACGTGACATGAATGTCTGTATAGTTTGATCACGTGACCTGAATGTCTGCATAGTTTGATCACGTGACCTGAATGTCTGTATAGATTGATCACGTGACCTGAATGTCTGTATAGTTTGATCACGTGACCTGAATGAAACGACTGACCTGCTGCGGTCTGCTGGCGCTGGTGTGGGCGTCCTACGGCCTGAAGGAGAGTCAGGGAATTCCAGAACACACGGTGAGTGTGGGTTGTTGTGTGTGGCTCTGTCTTGTGTGTGGGCTCTAAGCTAGGCCCTGTGTGTGGGCTCTAAGCTAGGCCCTGTCTTGTGTGTTGGCCCTGTCTTGTGTGTGGGCTCTAAGCTAGGCCCTGTGTGTGGGCTCTAAGCTAGGCCCTGTCTTGTGTGTGGGCTCTAAGCTATGCCCTGTCTTGTGTGTTGGCCTTGTCTTGTGTGTGGGCTCTAAGCTAGGCCCTGTGTGTGGGCTCTAAGCTAGGCCCTGTCTTGTGTGTTGGCCCTGTCTTGTGTGTGGGCTCTAAGCTAGGCCCTGTGTGTGGGCTCTAAGCTAGGCCCTGTCTTGTGTGTGGGCTCTAAGCTATGCCCTGTCTTGTGTGTTGGCCCTGTCTTGTGTGTGGGCTCTAAGCTAGGCCCTGTCTTGTGTGTTGGCCCTGTCTTGTGTGTGGGCTCTAAGCTAGGCCCTGTCTTGTGTGTTGGCCCTGTCTTGTGTGTGGGCTCTAAGCTAGGCCATGAGTGTGGGCTCTAAGCTAGGCCCTGTCTTGTGTGTTGGCCCTGTCTTGTGTGTGGGCTCTAAGCTAGGCCCTGTCTTGTGTGTTGGCCCTGTCTTGTGTGTGGGCTCTAAGCTAGGCCCTGTCTTGTGTGTTGGCCCTGTCTTGTGTGTGGGCTCTAAGCTAGGCCTTGTCTTGTGTGTGGGCTCTAAGTTAGGCCATATGTGTGGGCTCGGCACTGTCTTGTGTGATGGTGTGAATGTTTTGTTAACCCCAAGTACATTTGTTGGATGTCTGATCTCTGTCGTCTGGGTGTGTTGTAAAGTCTTGTGTGACTTGTAGAACTGACTGAAACTAAAATAGGCAATGTCTCTCCATAGACTGGGCCAGTTCTAAAGGCGAGACGTGGCCCGCAGTTAGCTGGGGAGCATGGCCAGCGGCCCAAAGTTGAGGCCCAGTCCAGCTACGACTACCAAGGCCAACCAAAAGTTGGACGAAAACTGGCCGAGAAACTGGAGGTGGTCAGGCTAGCCAACGTGCCAGGTAAGTTGTGTCGATTTCTTGCCAGCTTGGCCACTGAAACCTGGCCAAATACGCCAGGACACTCCCAACTACACAATACTAACTACCACCTTTCCACTACCCACTACCCATTACCAACTACCCACAACTAACTAGCCTGTACCAACTACCCACTACCCACTATCAAATACCCACTACCAACTACTCACTACCACCTCTCAACTACCCACAACTACATCTCCACTACCAACTACCCACTACCAACTACCCATTACCAACTACCCACTACCTACTACCCACTATCAACTACCCACTTCCAACTACCCACTACCAACTACCCACTACCACCTCTCCACTACCACCTCTCCACTACCACCTCTCCACTACCACCTCTCCACTACCACCTCTCCACTACCACCTCTCCACTACCACCTCTCCACTATCAACTACCCACTTCCAACTACCCACTACCCATTACCAACTACCCACTACCACCTCTCCACTACCACCTCTCCACTACCACCTCCCCACTACCACCTCTCCACTACCACCTCTCCACTACCACCTCTCCACTACCACCTCTCCACTACCACCTCTCCACTATCAACTACCCACTTCCAACTACCCACTACCCACTACCAACTACCCACTACCACCTCTCCACTACCACCTCTCCACTACCACCTCCCCACTACCACCTCTCCACTACCACCTCTCCACTACCACCTCTCCACTACCACCTCTCCACTACCACCTCTCCACTACCACCTATCCACTACCACCTATCCACTACCACCTCTCCACTACCACCTCTCCACTACCAACTACCCACTTCCAACTACCCACTACCAACTACCCACTACCCACTACCAACTACCCACTACTCACTACCACCTCTCCACTACCACCTCTCCACTACCACCTCTCCACTACCACCTCTCCACTACCACCTCTCCACTACCAACTTCCAACTACCCACTTCCAACTACCCACTACCCACTATCAACTATCAACTACCCACTTCCAACTACCCACTACCAACTACCCACTACCCACTACTCACTACCACCTCTCCACTACCACCTCTCCACTACCAACCACCCACTACCACCTCTCCACTACCACCTCCCCACTACCACCTCCCCACTACCACCTCCCCCACTACCACCTCCCCACTACCACCTCCCCACTACCACCTCCCCACTACCACCTCCCCACTACCACCTCTCCACTACCACCTCTCCACTACCACCTCTCCACTACCACCTCTCCACTACCACCTCTCCACTACCACCTCTCCACTACCACCTCTCCACTACCACCTCTCCACTACCAACTACCCACTTCCAACTACCCACTTCCAACTACCCACTACCCACTACCAACTACCCACTACTCACTACTCACTACCACCTCTCCACTACCACCTCTCCACTACCACCTCTCCACTACCACCTCCCCACTACCACCTCTCCACTACCACCTCTCCACTACCACCTCTCCACTACCACCTCTCCACTACCACCTCCCCACTACCACCTCCACACTACCAACTCCACACTACCAACCACCCACTACCACCTCTCCACTACCACCTCTCCACTACCACCTCTCCACTACCACCTCCCCACTACCACCTCCACACTACCAACTCCACACTACCAACCACCCACTACCACCTCTCCACTACCACCTCTCCACTACCACCTCTCCACTACCAACTACCCACTTCCAACTACCCACTTCCAACTACCCACTACCCACTATCAACTACCAACTACCCACTTCCAACTACCCACTACCCACTACCCACTACTCACTACCACCTCTCCACTACCACCTCTCCACTACCACCTCTCCACTACCACCTCTCCACTACCACCTCTCCACTACCAACCACCCACTACCACCTCTCCACTACCACCTCTCCACTACCACCTCCCCACTACCACCTCCCCACGACCACCTCCCCACTACCACCTCCCCACTACCACCTCCCCACTACCACCTCCCCACTACCACCTCCCCACTACCACCTTCCCACTACCACCTTCCCACTACCACCTCTCCACTACCACCTCCCCACTACCACCTCCACACTACCAACCACCCACTACCACCTCTCCACTACCACCTCCCCACTACCACCTCCCCACTACCACCTCTCCACTATCACCTCTCCACTACCACCTCTCCACTACCAACCACCCACTACCACCTCTCCACTACCACCTCCCCACTACCACCTCCCCACTACCACCTCCCCACTACCACCTCCCCACTACCACCTCCCCACTACCACCTCTCCACTACCACCTCTCCACTACCAACTACCCACTACCACCTCCCCACTACCACCTCTCCACTACCACCTCTCCACTACCACCTCTCCACTACCACCTCTCCACTACCACCTCCCCACTACCAACCACCCACTATTAACCACCCACTACCACCTCTCCACTACCACCTCCCCACTACCACCTCCCCACTACCACCTCCACACCACCTCCTCCCCACTACCACCTCCCCACTACCAACCACCCACTACCAACCACCCACTACCACCTCTCCACTACCACCTCTCCACTACCACCTCCCCACTACCAACCACCCACTACCAACCACCCACTACCACCTCTCCACTACCACCTCCCCACTACCACCTCTCCACTACCACCTCTCCACTACCACCTCCCCACTACCACCTCTCCACTACCACCTCCCCACTACCACCTCCCCACTACCACCTCCCCACTACCACCTCCCCACTACCACCTCCCCACTACCACCTCCCCACTACCACCTCTCCACTACCACCTCCCCACTACCACCTCTCAACTACCACCTCCCCACTACCACCTCCCCACTACCACCTCCCCACTACCACCTCCCCACTACCACCTCCCCACTACCACCTCCCCACTACCACCTCCCCACTACCACCTCCCCACTACCACCTCCCCACTACCCACTAGCCAGTACTGAGCGTGTCCTAACCGTTGAACCTCCCCCCCCCCCCAGCTGACGACTTCCAGCCCGGGGTAGAGACTGACACGGACGACCCTGATGGAATCTTCCACCCGCTGGACGAGCTCAAGGCCATGAGGCCTGGCCCGGGGGTCATGTGGAGGGACCAGATGCCCATAGCGGCCGACACTAAGAGCAGCGAACTCAGGAGGAGGCGACGAGACCGGTCACGGCTTCCGGCAAAAGAGAAAACACACAACACGATGACGTCACCGGAAGTAAGCATCACCGGAAGTGGTCATAATGAAGACACAAATGGCAATCACCGTAGCCGTTTCATGAAGCGGCAAATTTTAGAAAGTTCGGGGGTCAAGTGGTCATCTGGTCCAACCAACGCTACAGCAGTCGGGAAACATGAAGATACAACAGTCGGGAAACACGCACCCAAAGTGGCCAACCCTGCCAACCCTGCCAACCCTTTTGCCCGGATGCTAATGTACGCCCGTGGAATGAGAAAAGCTAAAAATAGAAAGTCTCAACCAATCAACTCGAGCCACACTACGTCATCAGATCACGTGTACAGGAAGCTGCCGGGGAACATAGGAAGGGGGGAGAAACAGACGCGTCAGGAGGACGAGGACATCGACCGGCTGAGAAAAGTTTTACTTTCTACCAGAAACAATCTGGAACACGTGGCCCATCTTCTGCTGGGGTCTGTGGGGGGAGATCTCCAGTCACGTGACTTAGTCCAGTCACATGACTTAGTCCAGTCACATGACTTAGTCCAGTCACATAACCAGCACGGCGCCGACAGGAAAACGAATAGAAAAACGGCATTGTCCGCCAACTTTCCTGAGGTGGCGCCAAATGGGATGACGACAAACTTGAGTGAGTGGCCAACAGACGGACACACGCTGACCTTGGGCGCCAGACAAAAGAAGGTCAAGGTGAGCGACAAAGGCAACGCGACATCCACCAGAGACCACGGGAGGGTCGCCAGGCAGGCGGTAGACGATGGTGACGATGATGACGACGATGACGATGACGACATCGTCAACGACAGCGTGGACGACGACGGCGCTGAAGATGGCGGCGATACGGTTGATGATGACGACGATGATGATGATGATAACAGCCCAGGCATTACGTCATCAGATGCAGCAGACGACCCTTCACCGGATGACCCCAGTGTCGACGATAACGACAACGACGATGATGAAACCGTCGCCGTGGTCGATTCCGATAGCGTTGATGGCTTGGTAGATGATGACGAGCCTTCAACTGGTCCAATCGCTGAAACACCGAGTGAGGTCAAGGACGTTTCCAACGAGCTGCAGGACATTGTGGACGTTGCCATGGTTACGCCCGCCCCTGGGCTGCCGGTCCTCAAGAAAAAGACCTTTGACCCGAAAGCGTTTCGTGACCTCGAGCACAAGCTGGAGAAGATTGAAGAGGACATTCGCAAGAAGGAGGAGATAGAGGCCCCTCTTATCGGCGGCCCCGTGCTGGGTGCCCCAAAGTTTGGCAAGACCGACACGGCCCTGGAGCGTCAACTGAGGCAGGTCGAGGCCCAGCCGGTCAATCAGACGACCGGCAAGCATCGCGCAGCACCGGAAGTTGTGTACGATGACGGAAGTGACGACACAGGAAGTGACGAGGACAGAAGCACGCCAGGAGATTCCCCACCGGCTGACCTGAAGCCAGAGGAGAGGACGTTGGAGGAGGACACGGGGCTGTCCACGGCTGAAATCATTCAAGCGGAACAAATGATCCAGAAGGGGATGGAGACTGGTCAAGTTGGTGACGTCATGAAAAGGGCGTCGCTAAAAAAGAAAAAAAGTTTCAGAAAAATCAAGGCAGCACTTGAAGATGTAGAAGATGAGGTCGGTGATGGTGGTGAGGGGAACGAGAGAGGTGATGGCGGCGGGGGCAGTGAGGGGGACGGAGGAGGTGATAAAAAACGTCGGAAAAAAAGGATGAGTCACGACTTTAAGCGGACCCGGTATAAGCGAGCAGAGGGGGCAGCGTCACATGACCAGTTGTCTTTAGCTCAAATCTTAGCTCGTATTCAATCTCTTCGTAGGCAACAAGCTCAGAGCTTAAACTCGACCATAAAAAAACCGTTACTGAGGGAGGAACAAGCCCCCAACTTGACACACACGTTGGCGGTTAGTGGCAAGGGAAACAACTGGAGCAAAGTTGGAGGGAGGTCACGTGGTCGAGTTGTGCGCCCACATCTCAAGCCAAAAGGTGATCGTCGTGTGTTTGATACAAGGGCAAGTCCTAGAGTACATGGGATAGAAGTCAACATGGACACATCTAGAAACATGGACACATCTAGAAACATGGACACATCTAGAAACATGGACAGAAACATGGACACATCTAGAAACATGGACACATCTAGAAACATGGACACATCTAGAAACATGGACAGAAACATGGACACATCTAGAAACATGGACACATCTAGAAACATGGACACATCTATAAACATGGACACATCTAGAAACATGGACACATCTAGAAACATGGACAGAAACATGGACACATCTAGAAACATGGACACATCTAGAAACATGGACACATCTAGAAACATGGACACATCTAGAAACATGGACACATCTAGAAACATGGACACATCTAGAAACATGGACACATCTAGAAACATGGACACATCTAGAAACATGGACACATCTAGAAACATGGACACATCTAGAAACATGGACACATCTAGAAACATGGACACATCTAGAAACATGGACACATCTAGAAACATGGACAGAAACATGGACACATCTAGAAACATGGACACATCTAGAAACATGGACACATCTAGAAACATGGACACATCTAGAAACATGGACACATCTAGAAACATGGACAGAAACATGGACACATCTAGAAACATGGACACATCTAGAAACATGGACACATCTAGAAACATGGACACATCTAGAAACATGGACACATCTAGAAACATGGACACATCTAGAAACATGGACACATCTAGAAATATAGACAGAAACATGGACAGGAATATGGACACATCTAGAAACCTAGACATGCCTGGAAATATGGACAGAAACCTAGAAATGGACAGGAACATGGACATGTCAAGAAACATGGACATGCCAAGAAACATGGATTACGAAGACCTTATTCAAGTTCTTTTTGATGAGCATGGTCAACTTAAGCAACCTGACGAACCGTTTAATGACGAATCATTTAACGACGAACGGTCAAACGTCCATCCATCAAACGACGAACCGTTTAACGACGAACCGTTTAATGACGAGCCATCAAATGTTGAAACTGACCAAATGAGCCACCTGTCGGCTGTCACCTCCCCCGCGCCAAATGTTGAAACTGACCAAATGAGCCACCTGTCGGCTGCCACCTCCCCCGCGCCAAATGTTGAAACGGACCAAATGAGCCACCTGTCGGCTGTCACCTCCCCCGCGCCAAATGTTGAAACTGACCAAATGAGCCACCTGTCGGCTGTCACCTCCCCCGCGCCAAATGTTCTGGCTGACAGACAGACTCCCCAGCAGAGGGCGGGAAAAAACCGGACAGAACCAGCTCACAGTCTCAACATGCATCAACACGGTCACGTGAGAAAACGTCCTGACCTTGAGCGCGTGGCTCAGCAGACGTCAAAGAAAGGTCAGCTGTACATGGAGAAGCAAGTCTTGAGGAAGCTAGGGGCGGGGCGAACGTTGAACCGACCCAAGAACACGATCGAGTCCTATCAGTCGGTCAGTCACCTGAGCACAGGTGTCCCAAACCACGTGACCAGCGAGACCCACCATCAGGGCGGCGCCCAGGGTCATCAGGTCAACCCCCAAGGTCATCAGGTCAACCCTCAGGGTAATCAGGTCAACCCTCAGGGTCATCAGGTCAACCCCCAAGGTCATCAGGTCAACCCTCAGGGTCATCAGGTCAACCCCCAAGGTCATCAGGTCAACCCTCAGGGTCATCAGGAGAACTCCCAGGGTCATCAGATCAACCCCAAAGGTCATCAGGTCAACCCCCAGGGTCATCTGGTCAACCCTCAGGGTCATCAGGTGAACTCCCAGGGTCATCAGGTCAACCCTCAAGGTCATCAGGTCAACCCGGCCAACTTTCAAAACCGGCACCGTTATCAGGGCACCAGAAGGTCTCCCAATGTTGAGGGGAGAAAGTTTCCTGAGTTTGCCGGAAAATATCGGCCTCAGTCGCACATATTAGATATTCGTGTGCCCGAAAATCATCTGCCGGTTCTGGAATACCAAGGACAATCTAAAAATAGACAACCAAATTCTGATTTCCCATCAAACACAAACGAAGATAACGTCATGCTTGAAAAGTTATTGCAAACACCAGCAGACGCCATGTTGCCGAGACAACATCGTCTGCCCATGATGGATGTACTTTACGGTAACCTTGACAACCAACATGGGCAGGACACACTCCCCCACTTGGGGAAACAAACAGCAGCAGACGTGGAGCAGCTGTTTCCGCCTTCATACAAACGTCAAGGTGACTCGAGAGCCAGGGGCCACCGGCCAGTATACAGAGCCAGGGGCCACCAGCCAGTGCACAGAGAGCCAGGCCACAGTGGCCACCGGCCCGTGCTCAGAGCCAGGGGCCACCGGCCAGTGCTCAGAGCCAGAGGCCACCGGCCAGTACACAGAGACAACAGCACGACTCGCCTGGCCCACGTTTCTGGCTTTAACCTGGACAACCTCTCCAACCAGCAGTACGCCCAGCTTGTCAACGACATCATGGACTTCCCCATTGAGATCAGAATTGACCGGCGGCTGCGCAGGTCAGCGAGCAAACTTGTAAACAAGAAGGACCCGGAGACCGCGAAAGAAGTTGAGCTGAAGCATCAGATGATGGACATGCTCAAGATGTTCCCCGAGTCGGGCGCCGAGCGGGCGGCGGAGGACAGGCTAGAGCAGCAGGACCAACAGGAGCTGGAGCAGTCGGACCTGAGCCAGACCATCGCCAGGCTGGACAGCCAGGACAACACGCCCTTCATAGACACGGCGGATGCCGGCGACCTTTTTGCCCAGAAGCACCGCATCAGACGAAACGTCGGCAACAAGCACCACAGCAAACGAAATATCGAACAGAAGAATACAGGTGAGGCTAACTTTAATAGAACTTTTAAAACCGATTTATTGTCGTCTAGATACAGCGGTCAACCATCTACAGGGAACCAACCATCTACAGGGAACCAACCATCTACAGGGAACCAACCATCTACAGGGAACCAACCATCTACAGGGAACCAACCATCTACAGGGAACCAACCATCTACAGGGAACAAACCATCTACAGGGAACCAACCATCTACAGGGAACCAACCATCTACAGGGAACCAACCATCTACAGGGAACCAACCATCTACAGGGAACCAGTCCACTCACATTAGCGCCAAGCCTCAGCCCTCGGGTGGAGGGCCGCCCAGTAGTGCCACCAGGAGCAGACGATTCACTCCTCTGGTAGAGAGCGAGGAGCCAGAGAAAGACGTGGCAGTCCGGAACGAAATCCTGGACAAATGGAGCGCCGACATGAGCGTCAAGAGCGACTTTGACGGGGAGCCAGCTTTCTTCAACAAAATTCCTTACCTCCTGGAGAAGGAGAGCATCGTCTCGCAGAAACTAGCGCAGGTCCTAGCAGAGACTGACGACCCCATCTCCTTCATATACAACAGCGAGGACAAGACAAAGGACCTGAGGGACCTGTCTGAGTCAGGGATCTCCGCCATGCCCCGGGGTCTGCTGACGTCAGAGACTGACCTCAAGGTGTCCCGTGTGGAGATGGAGGACGCACAGAAGGATGACGAGGCCGCCGAAGATTTGGCAGTTTTACATTACGACCAGGACCTGCGGGACCACGAGGAGATTAAAGTAGATGTAGAGGACTACATCGACGAGGGGGAGGACGGCTACATAGACGAGGGGGTGGAGGAGTTTGGGGACGACCCCACGGGCGAAAATTCCGAGGCCAGGCTGATTGAGGGTGAGACGGTCGAGGACTACGTGGGGGACAAGTACGAGATGGCGCAGTACGGCAAAGTCTTTGACGTGCCGGTCGTCAAGAAGTTCCCGACAGACGAGGATGCCAGCCCCAAGAATCCAAGCTTGAGGCGACGACGTGAGACACACCCAGGGAGGTACACCCCACCCCCCGGGCCACCCCCTGTGACAGCACAAGAAGATGTTGAGAGCAAAGCGAGGAATATTGAGGCCATTTTGATGGATGACGTCACGGAGCCGACACCCCTGGGTGAAGATGATGAGAAGCAAGTGGAGGAGAACGGCGACGAAACAGAGAGAGAAAAAGTTGTGGAGGACACGGGCATGTCGCCAGAGATGAGGGAAGAGATGGAGAGAAAGGCGATGCTGCTGGAAGAGGAAGAGAAGTTGGAGGCTGAGAGAGAAATGCTGATAGAGGCAGAGGAGGAGGTGAGGAGGATGGAGGAGGCTCAAAAACTGGAGGCCCTCAAGGAGGAGAGGGTCAATACAACATGGCGGATGGACAGTGACGTCATTCAGGCCAACACCAGCGATGACGAGAATTTATTTGAGACGTTGGCTAACGTCACGACCAAACCTGCTGCTGACGTCACGACCAAATCTGCTGCTGAAGTCACGAGCACAGTTGACGTCACTGGGGATGGTGAGGATGGGGAGATCCCATCACGTGACATGAAGCACGTGAGCCATGACGTCAAACCGAGGCCGCCTGGCATTGAGGACTACCGTGATGAGGAGGCTGACATAGAACTGGAGGTCAAGGACGACAGAGGGCGGGTGGAGGAGGACGTGGCAGACGACAGCAGAGATGAAGCTGAGGACACACCACAGACCAACAGTGAGGAAGATGAGGATGGGATAGAGTTGGACGACAAAAATGGAAAGAAAGAGGTGGAAGACGAAGTCGCTTTCCTTGAAGAAGATCTGACGACCAAAAAGACAGGTATAGAACGGGGTCCTGTCCTTTTGTGTAACATGGGGCCCTGTCTTTTTGTTTTACATGGGGGCCTGTCTTTTTGTTTTACATGGGGGCCCCAGTACTTTTTAGCGCAATTTCCTTATAGGAATTGCGATTATTAACTCGTCATTTCTGGATGGATGTGCGCAGCTTTAAGTCGTATCTCCTCCTCAACGAAGCAATATCCTGGATTTCCCGGAAAAGCCAAAAAACCTCGGAAAAAATGCAGTTTTTGGCCCATATCTCGGCAACCAGACCACTTAGCGACTTGAAACATTTACCAATCGATTTCTGCCATAATTTAGAACAATATTGCCGAAGAAAGTTTTCAAAAATATCCTTTCGTTCGGTCACAAAATGTTTTAAAAAATTACATAAACACCTACAAACCGATCGTTCTCCTAGCTTGAACGCACCCCAGCATTATACGTCTTGTGTTTTGTCCCCGTGTGTGCTTTACGCCACGACAGAGCTATTTTTAGATAACATAAGGAAATTGCGCTTAAATTGTCACTAGACTTTTTATTAACTTGTTTGTTAAATGTTGACCCTGTCCTTTTTAACGTGGTACACAGGGGGGGGGGGGGGGGCTGTCATATCGAGCATGCTGTGATATTGAACATGTCACTTATGTGGGGGGGGGGGGGGGGGGGACACTGGGGCGATGTCAACACGTTGAAACCTTCTTAATTTACAGGTCACGAGTTCAGGTTGCTCTGTCTATGATGAGCGTGTAATATTGTTTTTGTTCTATTTTTAGTGACCTACTCCTGGGCAGACTGGAGCGCATGTAGCGCCACCTGTGGGGTCGGGCAGCGCTTCCGGTTTAACCGCTGTCCCAACGGTGCCCCGTGCATGGGGAAACTGGCCAGTGAAGAGATAGAAGTCTGCTCCGATAGGGACTGCTAGCAGAGTCACGGGGCTCACGGGGATACACGTCCAGATGGGCGCGTCTATGGTGGTGACACACCTCTCGAAGTGACACACCTCTCGTGGTGACACACCTCTCCTGGTGACACACCTCTCGTGGTGACACACCTCTCGTGGTGACACACCTCTCGTGGTGACACACCTCTCGTGGTGACACACCTCTCGTGGTGACACACCTCTCGTGGTGACACACCTCACGTGGTGACACACCTCACGTGGTGACACACCTCTCGTGGTGACACACCTCTCGTGGTGACCATATTCCCTGTGTGGCTGATGGCGAAGACCCAGAACTGTCAAGCCACTGGAAGAACACGTCCACATTTGTTGTGTAGCTACCGTGATGGTAGCCTACCGTGATGGTAGCCTACCGTGATGGTAGCCTACAGTTATGGTAGCCTACCGTGTTACAAATTACATTGCTACACGGCTACCCCGTCAAGTCAATATCCCGAGTTGTTACTTCAGTATTTATACAAATTGTAATATTTTAAAATTTAGATGCATTTTTTATGTTTTAAAGTGTAATGCTTTTGTTTTGTTAAATTTTCTAGATCTATAGGTTTAACCAATAAAATGTTTCAATTTTAAACTATACCAGGGAGTTTAGTGCTATTTGGGACATACGGGACATACTGTGTATTACTGTGTATGACATTATGTAGTCTTTAGACCAGAGTTTCTTCCCGGCATCTCTTCGGGGGGGGGGGGGGGGGGGGGGGGGGGAGGGGATTTATATAGTAAACATACACTTTTACTAGTGTCCGCCCCCCCCCCCCGAAAAATGTTGACACCTCCCCCCCCCCCTCCGAAAATATCTATCAAGTGCCCCCCCCCCCCCCCCCCGGAGAACAAAGTCTGGAAGTAACACCACTTTAGCCTGTGTGACCAGAGGTTCTTCCAGGCAACTCTTGTGGGGAAGCAGCAACCCCCCCCCAGTGTTTCTTCCAGACTTTTTTCTCCGGGGGGGGGGGGTGGACTGTAAAAGTATATATTTTCTATACAAATTTCAATTTCGTTCGGGGGGCGGTTGGCTTTCCACGGGGGTTCCCCCGCCCCCCGAAGATATGCCTGGAAGAAACACTGCCCCCCCCCCCCCGGAAAATTTAGCTCCCCCCTCCCCAAAGGAAAAAAGTCTGTGTGACAGTCTGTAGCCTGTGTGACAGACCCACTGCCACCGACAGATATAAGCACAATAAAAACATTGTGGCTGGAGCCAATGTAGAATATTTGAAAAAGAAATTTTTTTCGTTTCAATGCAGTTCAGTTTTTATTTTCTTTACAACTTTTTAGTAAACAAAATGGCAGCCTCCGGCAGACCTGAACATCAAGCACCTCCTGAAATTGTAAACACTTTTTTTCGTCGGTTTAATTAGATCTAGATTTAAACCACCTTCTTATAAAATATTTAGGCCTAAAAATTAGCCTAAATAATTCAATATTCAACTTTTCTCTAGCAGCGATTAGATCTAGAGCAAAGTTCCACAGCCGATCACACATTCACATAGATCTAGATAGATTAGTGATTAGATCTAGATTCTAGATCTCTACTCTAGAAATAATCTAGAGGAGTTTACACTTTTCGGACACACCAAAAATTACGTAGGACCGAACACTTCGTCGGTTTTTGGCTCATAGAAACTTTAATTAGCATGTCTCACGCGAAACCACGGCGCCTGCACGTAAACTGTTCATTTATGAACACTTCCGTGTCAAGTACTTCCGTTTCCTTTCTCAAGAATTATTTTTAGAAATTTTTTAACGTTGCATGGTACGCACATTTCTATTTTTACACCAGCCGGATGAAGTGACCTAGGGTTGGACTTAGGGGCAAAACTTGAACCAATCAATGCTTAGCTAAAAGGTTACACTATAAATAGCTTCTATATATGTATGGAACATCGTAAATGTCAAGGTTAATGGGTTTTTTTGTGCTTGAACAATAAAAAAGGGGTGTTCGCTAACTTTTTTGACCTTACATGGGATCGGACAGCAACACAAAAATATTATTAAATAAGAATTTAGAGCATAAAAGGGGCTGATTATTGAAGGGAAAGGGTCAAAATAAGGTCAAGAAGGCAGTGGAATGCGAAAGAGGAGGGGGAATCATGTGACCTGGCTGGCTTAGCAGCGTACTGCGCGAGCCGCAATGGCTGAATGGGATGAACTTTGGGAGTGTGGGAAAAAGGTTTTATACTATTAAAATTACCTCACAAACAATCAATAACACAATATAAATGCATATAATATATGTTTTTATTCATTAAATTGACTTTAAATTATTCTAAATGAACAAAAAGTGCTATGTCCGATGACGGGTAAAGGTGTCCGAACACATGTAAAACTGTATTACATGTGTTCGAACACACGTTAAGACCCCCCAGTCACTATAACAAGAATAGCTTAAGTTCTATGCGTATGAATACAAAATGACACACACATTATTAAAGTAGAATGGTTGCGGATAGATATGATACTTTTTTTTGTTTTCTATGTTAAGCGGTTACTGAATGAGACCGCATGGAATTTTTACGTTGCGTTTTTTCGCTATGTGTGTCCGAAAAGTGTAAGCTCCTCTAGTGGAAATTTCCCAACTCCCGACTTTCATCGGGCGCTATTTTAGTATTTTGTAACCGTTTACACAGAAACAAACCAAAAGTACTGCCATACAACTCTAATATGTATCAATCATTTTATATTCCTACGCATAGAATTTAAGATATTCATGTTTTAGTGATGTGCTACTTGCGATATTTTTTCCCCTTTTTTTTTTCCTGCGGCCACCTGAACCGGCTAGCTTAACGATCGTATTTTATACGTTTTAATCCAATTTTAATAACTAAAATAAATATTTTACACTTTTAAACGTGTTGCTGATTGTATTATTAATTAATAGATTGCAAAACCAAATAAAAAACACGTTAATTAAATTTATGGTAGGCCTATACCATTCGAATCGTCCCTAGAGGATTTCATAATGTCAGCCGCCAACCAATCAAACGCGCGCTTTCTCAGCGTTTTGGTTGGCGGCTGACGTCACGCAATGCGTTTTTGGAGCTATAAAGGGCAGAAAAAGCCATTTTTTCTATGTGTAGTTCGGATTTTTTTACGTTTTTTAAAATGGGCCCGAAAATGACACCGTTTTGGGTGTAAACAACGGCCTAGGTCAAACCACGTGAAGGCACCCAATCGACGATTTCGGTCATGCATGAGTGGTTTTCATACGTTCTCGAGAACTAAATACCAGTTTCTTGACAACAAAATGACAATTTCGTGAAAATATCGACCCTAGAGGCTTTTATTATTATTAAATAAAAATCAGTGTATTGGCTTCTTGTGTTGATTCTTAAGTTGTCTATAATTGACTAGTAGGGCATGCTTAAACAACTGCCTGAGGGCGCAGTGTAGTGTGTAGTTTCGCTAAATGTAAATTAATCAGCCCGCCCGCAGATCAATCGCAAACTGTTAAAATGGTTGGATGTGAAAAGCTTCTACTTACAAATTACTTCTGAATAATCACATCACACAAAATAATCCCAAAGAAAGCACAAAATAAAATCCTTTAGAAAAGCATCACCGTGAAATTTGAAAACCATAGTATGTCAACCAGCCATCTTTGGCTCGATCTAGAGGTCATTCTTTAGCCTACACATGTGTCTTGTCAACCAATTTAGTTTCTGATGGTACACGACATTTACATAAATATAATATAACAAACTAACTGAATTCCAACATTATATCCATCTTATCCCAATATTGAAACAGAATTTGAAGCACAATGATCTAACGAATAAATCCAACTCTATGCAGGTGTCGCAGCTTTAGTCCAGGATACAATCATAGTGTGTAGTCGTGTTGTAAGTAAATTTGCATGAGATACAACACCGACCTAGACCTTCCTAGACCAAAGTTAAGTGCTGCGAGTAGGGGAGGGCAATTTAACACCAGAACAGTTTTTTTTTCCCAATAGTTAGGTCATCAGTAGCTCACGCATCCTAACGGGGTTGAAAGTGTAACTTTAAATTGAACTAGGTGAGAGGAGGAGGGTGAGGTCATTTAAACAACGGAGCTATATTTCTAGTAGAAGAATACAGGGAAATCATAGCTTGAAGTTTGAAGCCGGCATTTCATTTTTTTCATTGTTATTGAGTACAGCCCTTTAATGCACGACTAGGCTACTCATTATGAAATCTAAAAATGTAGTTGTGCTACCATGCAAAAGTAGCCAAATATGTCTTGTTTATTTAAATACAGATACACATTTTAGTTATATCCTAATGATTAATGTTATAATACAATGCATATATTCTGACAGTCCTTCAAGATTTTGGACTATCCATAACTTGTATTTCAAATTTATAATGAGCGGGATGCACTCGATGTTTTAAGTGCTACATTTGGTATGACAACATCCCAATAGTTCACTGTAAATATAAACTGAGCTTGACGAGATTCCCATCGCCATAGACCCAGCAAGCATCACTGGTTAAATTCGACCTTATTGCTATACCAGTCCTTGATTTTCATTACAGCCTTTAAACACCTAGTTCTTGTTTTTTTTTTTAAAAAGTGTCTCCTCCCTCTCCCCGCTTGTGCCGACGTCATCAAAGGCCAATACCATATTGCGATTTTTTTTAACGGATATAATACACACCCCTCTCCCCCTCACAGCAAACGCCAACAACGTCACAGAAGGCCCAAGGCCAATAACACGCACCACAGTGGATTTTTTCTTCAATGAGTATATACCCTACCCACCCGCCGCCTTACAGCATACCGCATGTCTCTACGAACGGGGTTAAAAGTTTAACTTTGAGTTCAAGAAGGGGAGAGGGTGGTATTGAAACAACGAAGCTGTTTCTTTATAGTAAAAATACATAGTTACCTACTGCTATAGCATCATACATAATTTTAGAAATTAGCAAATTAATTAAGTAATTAACTAATTAAATATATCTAATGATAATGAAGGGAGATAGTTTATTTTGGTTATGGCACGACACACAACACTGTGCGTGCCTGGTATGTGGCCTGACCTACTGAAACGAGATTGTTTATATTATTGTTTTGAGTTTATATTTAACTCAATGCAACAAGCCCGCCGGTTGGTTGAGGCCACGACGGGGGGACGTTCTGACCAGGATTCAAAGGGATGACTCGAAATATCATCCAAATTTATTAACTACACATTACGGATGACCCAGTGATGACTCAAGGGACGCAACTATAATAATCATAACAGAGGGACATAACAATCACTATCAAGACATAACAATGTAACATTTGCTTAGATATGCTTGTATGTAGATACACAAACTAGGTTTAGAAGAAGTAGATGATCGAAATAATTTAAAAAAAACAGAAAAAAATAGAAATTATATATATCTAGATTCTAGACAGCTTGAAATATAGAGCATCTAGAATTAGGCTAGTCTAGCTCAAGTCCTTGGTTACGTAGCGAGGTAAAACCACCCTAATCGTTACCCAAGATGTGGCCACCCCTATTCACCTCTATCGTATGTACAGTGTCCCGCACATATTGTAGAAGCTATTTATAGTTAACCTAGCTATAAAAAAAGCTTTAATTGGTTGGTTTTATTCATCCTGGACCTAGTGCTTTTCACAGGGGGATCTAGAATTGCCTACGACGTCATACTTCGAAATTTAAAAATTTAAAAACTTGTCTTCCAGAAAAAAAAACAACGAATTTGACCTGGATATATTTTGAAATGGACATGTGTACAGCAGATATCGGTAGTTTTGTATAAAACATCCAAACAAATATTATATGAAGCGATAAACACGCGATGGCCGCACCAGCGTTTTAACCGTGCGTGGAACTTCACTCTATCTAAAAAAAAAATTTTAAAAAAGCATTTTGATGATGGAAATATTAAAATTATTTTTAGATTTTTTATTTAAAAAGTTTCAATAATAATAATAGCCTAGCACAACAGTTAAGAGAGATCTATATTGACTTTTAGTGCAAAAAAAAGTCAGGTCGTATTATTAATTATGAAGTGACTGCTTGGAAAAAGCTTTTTCCCCCCAAGAGCTTGCCGGCAAAAGATGCAAAACGCAATGACCTAAATATCTGCGCAATGAGCTCAAATTTAATACTATTAAAATGAATAGCTACCCACTGGACTCAACTTATTCTTTTATACCAGCACAATGGGATCTATTAGGCCGACTCTTTTAGCTTTATTCTTCTGATGAAACTATCTGTACCATGTGATCGAGCATTTGCGCTTCGGGCAGTTAGTTCAGTCTGAAAATGCAAACTGTGCAGTCTCGTCCATTTGAATTTAACAATGTACAGCACATTTGATTTCATTACCCTATCTCTATTGAGGCCCAAATTAATATTTAGGTCTACTTAGTAGAGTTGGCCTATAACATATTTTGTTAAAATTTTTATTTAAAAAGGCCTAGATTTTTCTTTTTTAAAAGTCATCGCATTAAAATTAATCACCCTAGAGCATGGCCACGCATGGCATAAGGCTCGCTCTCTAGCTGTGTTATGTCAGCAAATGTAGCATCGCCGCCACAGCACATTGCGTGTCCTAATCCATGTACTGTATTGTACTATGTACTTCATTTACTAATTAGTAATGTAAGCCTAGGCCCAAGGCTAAAAACAAAGTGAAAAAAAATTGGCCAATCCTAAGCCAGGTTAGATAGCCATATTGTTGTCAGCAACAGACCACTCCCTTTAGATTTGTGAGCATCGCTACTATTATGTTTTGAGTTACTAGTAACTAGGCCTTTAGAAAAAAAATTACATCCGGTGACCTGATTAATGAGTGAATTTCTCAATTATTTTTAAACATTTTTAAATAAAACTTCACAAAAGCATATTAAAATTTCTTAAAAATGAATTTAGATAGCTAAAAGCTACCTAGATTAATAAACACATTTTTAAATAAACCTGGAGTGATCTCCCCTAAACTTTCTCGAATATTCTAATATAAAACTACAAGGGAGAGCAACTCAGGACATAGACAATATTTGTAATCCATTTTTAATTACTTAAACTTTTTATAATAGAATAGAATCTCGTAAAAAAAAAGAATTGCACACCAAGTGAACGCCTAATAAAATGTGCATAATAGTGCGGGATATTATTAGTACTTTATAAATTTACATGCGTTTTGAGAAATCGGAAATAGCGTAAATTAGTACTTCCGGTCAACGAAAATTACTCAAAATTTGACAGAAGGTAGAGAATTAGATCGTTTACTAAATGTGAAATTTCATTCATCTATCTGAAATAGTACTCAAAAATTCAAAGTAGAAAAAGTACCACTTCCGGTTATCGGAAATCGCTCAAAAGTTGATCAGGATCTACGATTTTGATAAAATACTTATTTATGAAATTTCATCAACTTAGCTATAACGGTACTCAAGTTATCGTGTTTACAGACAGACACACACAGACATACGGACAAGATTGCAAAATTATGTTTTTCCGTATCAGTGAGGTGTAAAACGTCGAGATCTGTAAAAATCTGGATTTTTTTTTTTGCACGATTACAAGACTTTCTCTATATTTCGTATATACGAGAAAGTAAAAATATTAATGTAGTCCTATAGGGCGTGTGGGTGTCAGATAATGGTAGTACAAGAAATTTACCTTTACATTTTTGTGTTTTATGACAATATTTGTACACAATTAACATGCCATGCTTTTTAAATTGACAGAGGGGAAATATAAAAAAACTGCAATCCTAACTAATAAGTCATATTTTCACTTTAAAAAATTATAAAAACGATCATTAATGGAGGAAAGCGCAGTGCATTCTATTTTTAGTTAAGGCGTGACATGACATAAATCTGGCAAAATTATTGGATTTTCCCTAGCTGTTTCTATGATTGAATGTCCCTAGCTTATCCCAGCAAGAGTTGAACCACCTTATTGCTCACTGAACCACACTCATTCATACACAATCATGTCAGATGAGAAGAAAAAAACTTGACAAAGGCTGTCATGAACACAACATCACTACACAGTGTGGACAAACAAGGCAGATAGGCCATACAAAACACAGTCATGTACCTACATACTGTTTATAATAAATCCTTCTGCAGAGAATTCAAATAAATGTGTAGCAAAATCTGAGGCTGCTATAGAAATTATCCTATATTATGTTTTACTTATTGAGAAGATGAAGTTGGAATAGTATTGTACACTGTGCTTGATTTTTAAAGTTTATAAATATCTTACTAAAAAAAACAACACCCACATTTATTAAAGTCCAGTGTTTAATAAACTGCAACAAATAAATCAAAGTAATTATTGAAACATTTTTATGACTTTGTTCTGGTAATTTTTTTCCTATTGGCCTAGAGTTTTTCCAATGTGACTTTTCCCAGAAACAGACTTCTCTCGTGTGACTTTTGTCTCCTCCCTGACAGAAACAACCTACTTTACAATTGACAAACATTCATAATTTCAGTGGCATAGTTGTTTTTTTTCTCGAATAATTTAGGAGCAATTTTTTTTATTTTTTGGAGACTCATGATTGAATATGAATTGTATGCTTGAATGAGATGCTAAAAATAAAATAGTCTAGAATCAAAAGTGAAATTTCTCCTAGATTAGATGGCTCTTCAGATAAAGTGTGCACATTTTAAAGATACAATTTTTTAGTGTCAGTGACTGCTAAGCCTCAAACATTGCTTTGTATTTATTTCAGACAGATTAGAGATCTAGTTTGCTGTTTAAATGTAGATGGAATTCAAGTAGTAACTGATGTAAACATTGGTCACTGCTAGTAGACAGCAGTTGTTAGCAGCTGTTTCAGTCATCTATCTGATAGTAGACTGGCTAACCAATCTTTTTTTTTTCCAGTTTTACAATGAGACAGAAGCAGCCAAGTACACAAGCAAGTATGTCTAGATTGTTATTTCAACTAGCAAGTATGTCTAGATTGTTATTTCAACTAGCAAGTATGTCTAGATAGTTATTTCAACTAGCAAGTATGTCTAGATTAATGTTTTAACTAACAAGTATGTCTAGATTGATGTTTTAACTAGCAAGTATGTCTAGATTGTTGTTTCAACTAGCAAGTATGTATTAGTATGTCTAGATTGATGTTTTAACTAGCAAGTTTATTGAGATTGACGTTTTAGTTTGTCTGGATTGTTGTTTCAACTAGCAAGTATGTCTAGATTGTTGTTTCAACTAGCAAGTTTGTCGAGATTGATGTTTTAGCATGTCTAGATTGTGTTTTAGCTATCAAGTATGTCTAGATTGATGTTTTAACTAGCAAGTATATCGAGATTGTTATTTTAACAAGAAAGTTTGTCAAGATGGTTAACTAAAATGTAATGTGACTGATAGTGCTGTTGTAATGTGACTGATAGTGCTGTTGTAATGTGGCTGATAGTGCTGTTGTAATGTGACTGATAGTGCTGTTGTAATGTGACTGATAGTGCTGTTGTAATGTGACTGATAGTGCTGTTGTAATGTGACTGATAGTGCTGTTGTAATGTGACTGATAATGCTGTTGTAATGTGACTGATAATGCTGTTGTAATGTGACTGATAGTGCTGTTGTAATGTGACTGATGTTGCTGTTGTAGTGTGACTGATGTTGCTGTTGTTTCCCCCACAGTTCCCGTATGATTGAGATCCAACAGAAATTGTCAGAACGAGCTCTGGAACTTTTGTCATTGCCACCAGATGTGTCCTGCTACATTCTAGATATTGGGTGAGTTCAGGTTTTAGTGTTGGTAGACTGGTTCCTAGAAAGATGTGCAACGGGAAAAAAGTGCTTTAAAAAGTGCACGCAAAAAAAAAAAAAAAAAAATTCTTGCACACAGAACACTACACACAGATCGCTCACCAATGAGGATTATGGCCATGTGCGTGTGTCTATGTGTGCCTATATGTATACATAGACAGATATATTTTTAAATCAGAAGGGAGAGAGATGGGACAGGCAGGCAGGTGGGTCTGTTGGTGTGGGTGTAGGGGTAGTCATGCAAAGCACACTTGTTCATATCATCTGTGAGTCCACAGCCCTGGTTTACTGGACAACCCTTCGCTGTTGTCAAACAAACTTTCTCTCTGGTCACCGGATGGGCTACCATGTCAGGTTTTGGTGTGGGTGGGCTACCATGTCAGGTTTTGGTGTGGGTGGGCTACCATGTCATGTTTTGGTGTGGGTGGGCTACCATGTCATGTTTTGGTGTGGGTGGGCTACCATGTCAGGTTTTGGTGTGGGTGGGCTACCATGTCAGGTTTTGGTGTGGGTGGGCTACCATGTCATGTTTTGGTGTGGGTGGGCTACCATGTCAGGTTTTGATGTGGGTGGGCTACCATGTCAGGTTTTGGTGTGGGTGGGCTACCAAATTGCCTGCCATTTATTGTTGTTGTATTTGCAGGTGTGGCTCAGGCTTGAGTGGAGAAGTCTTGACAGACAACGACCATGTCTGGGTGGGCGTGGACATCAGCCCCAGCATGCTGGGTCAGTAGCAACTTCTTTGGTCATAGCCGCTACAGCTGTGTCACCAGCTGTGGGCTGCTACAGCTGTCTCACCAGCTGTGGGCTGCTATAGCTGTCTCACCAGCTGTGGGCTGCTATAGCTGTCTCACCAGCTGTGGGCTGCTACAGCTGTGTCACCGGCTGTGGGCTGCTATAGCTGTCTCACCAGCTGTGGGCTGCTATAGCTGTCTCACCAGCTGTGGGCTGCTATAGCTGTCTCACCAGCTGTGGGCTGCTACAGCTGTGTCACTAGCTGTGGGCAGCTACAGCTGTCTCACCAGCTGTGGGCCGCTATAGCTGTCTCACCAGCTGTGGGCCGCAACAGCTGTGTCACTAGCTGTTACCACTAGGTTTAAATGTGTCACAGCTTTGTGTGTCCAGCTGTATGTGTCCAGCTTTGTGTGTCCAGCTGTATGTGTCCAGCTTTGTGTGTCCAGCTTTGTGTGTCCAGCTTTGTGTGTCCAGCTTTGTGTGTCCAGCTTTGTGTGTCACAGCTGTGTGTGTACAGCTTTGTGTGTACAGCTTTGTGTGTCACAGCTGTGTGTGTACAGCTTTGTGTGTACAGCTTTGTGTGTCACAGCTGTGTGTGTACAGCTTTGTGTGTACAGCTTTGTGTGTACAGCTTTGTGTGTACAGCTTTGTGTGTACAGCTTTGTGTGTACAGCTTTGTGTGTACAGCTTTGTGTGTACAGCTTTGTGTGTACAGCTTTGTGTGTACAGCTGTGTGTGTACAGCTTTGTGTGTACAGCTTTGTGTGTACAGCTTTGTGTGTACAGCTTTGTGTGTACAGCTTTGATCCATTGTGTGAGTAAAGTTTTGATTCTGTTGTAGATGTGGCTGTGGAGAGAGAGAGTGAAGGAGATCTAATACTGGCTGATATGGGCAATGGGATGCCTTTTAGACCTGGAACATTTGATGGGGTTATAAGGTGGGTGCATTACCCCTATATAATTTAATATAAACCTCCCATTGCTTCTGTTATCAACCTGCCATTGCCTTTGTTATAAACCTACTAATGCCTCTGCTATAAACCTTATATTTCCTCTACTATAAACCTACCAATGCCTCTATTATAAACCTACTATTGCCTCTTTCAAATCCTATTGCCTCTGTTATAAACCTCCTGTTGCCTATATATAAATCTGCCATTGTCTATCCAGCATCTCTGCCCTCCAGTGGTTGTGTAATGCAGACAAAAAGTGCCACTCTCCAGCCAAAAGGATGTTAACTTTCTTCAGAACTCTGTATGCCGTCATGGTAAATGATTTTTTGATCATTGAATTTATCAGCATATTCAAAATATTCATTGACATTTTCAGTTGGATTGATGAGTTTTTATTCATAGGAAATTTGTTTAGCTCTACCAAAGTTAACTCATTCCCTACTAAATCTTTAGTTCCAGTTTGCAACATTATTCCTGAGCAAAGAGAAGCAACTTTGTTTTTTTAACCACATATTTCAAAGAAAATGTTCTATCTAAACAGTAATGAATGTAAAATGTACAACCAACATTGCACTCAGAATTATAACAATACTGGCTCAACAAAATTAAAAAACTCAAACTACAAAAAGTAAATTGTTCATGCAATATAAATAGCCAACCAAAAAATAGTGCGCACACCTCGCTACTGTACTAATCTAAGGTGTGTTTGAATTTGTTATCTGAGTGAAACAAAAGTTCACGGTTGTGACCAGACACATTTAGACGCAGCAGGTGGAAATGAGTTCATTTATGTTGCCTATTCAAGAATAATTATATATTGACTAATTAAGGATAATTTATGTTGACTAATTAAGGATAATTTATGTTGACTAATCAAGTATAATTTATGTTGACTAATTAACAATAATTTATGCTGACTAATTAAGGATAATTTATGTTGACCAATTAAGGATAATTTATGTTGACTAATTAAGGATAATTTATGTTGACTAATTAAGGATAATTTATGCGGACTAATTAAGGATAATTTATGCTGACTAATTAAGGATAATTTATGTTGACTAATTAAGGATAATTTATGCTGACTAATTAAGGATAATTTATGCTGACTAATTAAGGATAATTTATGCTGACTAGTTAAGGATAATTTATGTTGACTATTTTAAGTGCCGTGGCTCAAGGGCAGTGTTCCAGTTGTATCCAGAGAACAGCGAACAGGTGAGGTGATGCACATTGTCTGACAGGTGAGGTGACCCACTATGGGGTCAGTGATCCCTTACCTCACCTGACACTATGGGGGTCAGTGATCCCTTACCTCAGACACTATGGGGGTCAGTGATCCCTAACCTCAGACACTAAGGGGGTCAGTGATCCCTAACCTCAGACACTAAAGGGGTCAGTGATCCCTAACCTCAGACACTATGGGGGTCAGTGATCCCTAACCTCAGACACTAAGGGGGTCAGTGATCCCTTACCTCAGATGACACTATGGGGTCAGTGATCCCTTACCTCAGATGACACTATGGGGGTCAGTGATCCCTTACCTCAGATGACACTATGGGGTCAGTGATCCCTTACCTCAGATGACACTATGGGGGTCAGTGATCCCTTACCTCAGATGACACTATGGGGGTCAGTGATCCCTTACCTCACCTGATAGTATTGGGGTCAGTGATCCCTTACCTCAGCTGACACTATGGGGTCAGTGATCCCTTACCTCAGATGACACTATGGGGGTCAGTGATCCCTTACCTCAGATGACACTATTGGGGTCAGTGATCCCTTACCTCAGATGACACTATGGGGTCAGTGATCCCTTACCTCAGATGACACTATGGGGTCAGTGATCCCTTACCTCAGATGACACTATGGGGGTCAGTGATCCCTTACCTCAGATGACACTATGGGGGTCAGTGATCCCTTACCTCAGATGACACTATTGGGGTCAGTGATCCCTTACCTCACCTGATAGTATTGGGGTCAGTGATCCTTTACCTCACCTGACAGTATTGGGGTCAGTGATCCTTTACCTCACCTGACACTATTGGGGTCAGTGATCCCTTACCTCAGATGACACTATGGGGGTCAGTGATCCCTTACCTCAGATGACATTATGGGGGTCAGTGATCCCTTACCTCAGATGATACTGTTGGGGTCATTGATCCCTAACCTGACTGTATATTTTGTCCTAGTTGGAACTGTTGACCCAGCAAGCAATGAAGGCAGGATTTACAGGTGGGCTGGTTGTGGACTACCCAAACAGCACCAAAGCCAAAAAGTGAGTACTGCTTTTCATCTCTCTCTCTCTCTACCTTGCTGGCTATTGAAAGTGGAAGTTAAGGATCTTACATTCCCATATTTTCTAGGATATTCCTGTGTCTGTTTTGTGGGGGCACGTCACAGATTCTCCCAGCAGGCCTTGGGACAGAAGAGACCAACACAGACGTAGCACAGAAAGCAGGAAAAAGGTAAGTCATGGATCTGTTGGGTTACCTGACAAGGTAAGTCATGGATCTGCTGGGTTACCTGACAAGGTAAGTCATGGATGTTGGGTTACCTGACAAGGTAAGTCATGGATCTGCTGGGTTACCTGGCAAGGTAAGTCATGGATCTGCTGGGTTACCTGACAAGGTAAGTCATGGATCTGTTGGGTTACCTGACAAGGTAAGTCATGGATCTGCTGGGTTACCTGACAAGGTAAGAGGTGGATCTGTTGGGTTACCTGACAAGGTAAGACATGGATCTGCTGGGTTACCTGACAAGGTAAGTCATGGATCTGCTGGGTTACCTGACAAGGTAAGTCATGGATCTGTTGGGTTACCTGACAAGGTAAGACATGGATCTGTTGGGTTACCTGGCAAGGTAAGTCATGGATCTGCTGGGTTACCTGACAAGGTAAGTCATGGATCTGCTGGGTTACCTGGCAAGGTAAGTCATGGATCTGCTGGGTTACCTGACAAGGTAAGACATGGATCTGCTGGGTTACCTGACAAGGTAAGAGGTGGATCTGTTGGGTTACCTGACAAGGTAAGACATGGATCTGCTGGGTTACCTGACAAGGTAAGTCATGGATCTGCTGGGTTACCTGACAAGGTAAGTCATGGATCTGTTGGGTTACCTGACAAGGTAAGACATGGATCTGTTGGGTTACCTGGCAAGGTAAGTCATGGATCTGCTGGGTTACCTGACAAGGTAAGTCATGGATCTGTTGGGTTACCTGACAAGGTAAGTCATGGATCTGTTGGGTTACCTGACAAGGTAAGTCATGGATCTGTTGGGTTACCTGAAAAGGTAAGATATGGATCTGCTGGGTTACCTGGCAAGGTAAGTCATGGATCTGCTGGGTTACCTGACAAGGTAAGTCATGGATCTGTTGGGTTACCTGACAAGGTAAGTCATGGATCTGTTGGGTTACCTGACAAGGTAAGTCGTGGATCTGTTGGGTTACCTGACAAGGTAAGTCATGGATCTGTTGGGTTACCTGACAAGGTAAGAGGTGGATCTGTTGGGTTACCTGACAAGGTAAGATATGGATCTGCTGGGTTACCTGACAAGGTAAGAGGTGGATCTGTTGGGTTACCTGGCAAGGTAAGTCGTGGATCTGTTGGGTTACCTGACAAGGTAAGACATGGATCTGTTGGGTTACCTGACAAGGTAAGTCATGGATCTGTTGGGTTACCTGACAAGGTAAGTCATGGATCTGCTGGGTTACCTGACAAGGTAAGACATGAATCTGCTGGGTTACCTGGCAAGGTAAGTCATGGATCTGCTGGGTTACCTGACAAGGTAAGTCATGGATCTGTTGGGTTACCTGACAAGGTAAGTCATGGATCTGCTGGGTTACCTGACAAGGTAAGTCATGGATCTGTTGGGTTACCTGACAAGGTAAGTCATGGATCTGTTGGGTTACCTGACAAGGTAAGTCATGGATCTGCTGGGTTACCTGACAAGGTAAGACATGGATCTGCTGGGTTACCTGACAAGGTAAGTCATGGATCTGTTGGGTTACCTGACAAGGTAAGTCATGGATCTGCTGGGTTACCTGACAAGGTAAGTCATGGATCTGCTGGGTTACCTGACAAGGTAAGACATGGATCTGCTGGGTTACCTGACAAGGTAAGTCATGGATCTGTTGGGTTACCTGACAAGGTAAGAGGTGGATCTGTTGGGTTACCTGGCAAGGTAAGTCGTGGATCTGTTGGGTTACCTGACAAGGTAAGACATGGATGGATCTGCTGGGTACATAAATTATCCTAACTTTTTTTCCCTTCAAACATTTGTGTCTTCAGTAATTTTCTTTACTTTTCCTGTAATTGATTTTGTTCTTACTGTAATCATTTTACTGCTAAATCTTTGTGTTTAATTAGCTGTAGGATTTGATTGTTCAGTTGACTGTAAAACTGATTGTTTAATTAGCTGTAAGATTTGATTGTTCATTTGACTGTAAAACTGATTGTTTAATTAGCTGTTAGATTTGATTGTTCAGTTGACTGTAAAACTGATTGTTTAATTAGCTGTTAGATTTGATTGTTCGTTTGACTGTAAAACTGATTGTTTAATTAGCTGTTAGATTTGATTGTTCATTTGACTGTAAAACTGATTGTTTAATTAGCTGTAAGATTTGGTTGTTCAGTTGACTGTAAAACTGATTGTTTAATTTTCCTTTAATATTTTCTGATCCAGGGCCCGTCTGAGAAAACCTTTGAAAACTGGCAGAGATTGGGTGTTAGAGAAGAAAGAAAGGAGGCGAAGACAGGGGAAGTAAGTAGGTTTTAACTCTATAAGACAGAAACAGGGGAAGTAAGTAGCCTTTAACTCTATAAGACAGAAACAGGGGAAGTAAGTAGGTTTAACTCTATAAGACAGAAACAGGGCAAGTAAGTAGGTTTAACTCTATAAGACAGTACAGGGCTCTCACTAATCAGTCTGCCATACAGTAGCTGTTTCTAGCATCCAATAATATTTTCTGTATTTAATATGCCGTTTTGCTGAATCCAACTTTTTAAAGGGTAAATCTAGGTCATGATATTGCTAGAGCTGTCAAACTTAGTTTTACTTACTGTTTAACCATTAATGTCCCGTAACGCCCGCTGCCGCCCGACACCGTTAATGTCCCGTAACGCCCGCTGCCGCCCGCTTAAAATACGCATAGAAAAATTAAATTTGTTTCATTAAAATTTGGCCTACAAATCCTAATTTTTAACTAAACAGGAAGTCGGATAGTTTCACCATCCTTTTCCGGTCTTATAATTTCAATGGCGCTTTTGAAAGATAAAAAATAATAGCTTCTTTCGATCTCGAAATTTTAGACTCATCTTTCCTTTTTTTAGTAGATTTAATGTTAAAAAATAAATAAAATAATGCCTCTAAACGTATCTAGGCATGTATTTTATGAATTATTTATCTTAAACATAACCAAATTGATATTTAACTGTTAAATTCGATGCTTAGTTGTTTAGACAAAAATAAATAAAGTTGACTACCGAAAATGACCTGTTTTGAATTTTCTCCGACATTTTTTATTTTTTTACTGTACTTTTACCGAATATAATATATTCTATTTAATACTGTTGGAAAGCCAGGTTTATTCCCAACATTAAGCAGTAGTTTTTATCTTAATTTTCAATTTCATTTAGACAAAAACAAATATTTTGTGAAACTATTCACTTGATCATACAGAGTTATGCTCCTTACATTGGGCCGTCATGGGTGGAGTTTTGGTAGAATGAATGGGACATTAATGGTTAAAATTTTCCTGGTTTGGTTGATTTTGTATTTCATAGAATTTTTTTTTTCAAGCTACTTGTAAAAAACATTTTCTTACCACAGCCAAACTGTATTGAGTCTAAATGTTTGTATCACTGCGTTGAACCAAAATTAAAGTATCTGTTCAAATACTAATCCTGCAAGTGTCTAATGATGCCTTACTGTCCATTTATTCCACAGAGAAACTAGACCAGACACACAATATACTGGCAGAAAAAGACGTGGGCACCATTTTTAGTTGGGTGCGTGTTGTCTCTTGTACATAGTTATAAATAGCAACTAAAACACCTTTATTGTCCTAGTTGTACATTATTTTGTACCTGTCAACTAAATCAGGGGTCTCCAAACTACGGCCCGCGGGCCGGATGCGGCCCGCGAGGTCCTCTCATCCGGCCTGCGGAGATCTTTTTGTCCACGGAAAAAATGTTTGTTGGTGATAGCTGAGGAACTTTGCCCAGAAAAATCAAAGACAGGACTGGAAGAAATTGGCCCCCGAACTGAAATTTGATAGTCAATGCGGCCCTCGGACTGAAAAGTTTGGAGACCCCTGAACTAAATCATTGACTCTAATACTTGAAGATATGGTTGGCATAATGCATGTTTTTTAAATGTAAAGGCACCATTCACTTGGAGTTAAGCTCACTACATGTATGCGGTCATTTAAAAAAAGCACAAGCATCAAAGTGTTGAAGGTAATGATTTATTCATGACAGTAGGGTAAAAAATGTCTCTACACACTGAGGCCAAAAAATTCTAACAGGCTACCAAGAATGTTTTTTTATTTCAAGTACTGATTGCATGGAATACAGCTCTCTTCTACATTAAAGTAAGGGGAATATACAAAATGTTCTCAACATTGGAGTTGAAAAGGCAAGTTTAGTCAAATGGCTCTAAAACTGTGGGACTAGAACTACACACAACAAATGTATGGTGAGACTAGCTAGAAAAGTTAAAGGTTGCAGCACTGGCCTGCTAGAGCAAGAAATACAAGATGAGCACAGATCAATGTACACATCTCATCCACATTTAGTCAACTCAACCAGTCAAGTTTTCAAAAATGTTGGGGAAAAAAAACATTGAGAAATTTGAAAAAATGGTGTCAAGATATTTCTTCAGTTGGCCAATCAAATCACAAATTGCTAGTCAAAACACTCAAGGGAAATAAGAAAAAACTCAAATATACTTAGATAGATTTATATATATATATATACAGTGCTTTATATAATAAAAATGTGCTTGAACAGCCAGAGCAAGCGTTCTAACAATGACAGTCTACCACTTTTTTAAAGTTTGTTACACAACCATTTCAAGACAGTCAAGGAGAGTATTTCATTGGCTTGTTTAATTAACAGCTACGTACATACCTCACTCAACCAATGAATTGTGAGGAAAATACTTCTGGAAATATTTTTCAAATGGAGTTTACCCAGTTAAAAAATTAATGTTGCATAATTTAGAGAGACCATCTGGCAGAGAAAAAGTTTTCTTACATTTGGTCTGTAGTCGCTGACAGAAAATTACAGGGTATCCCAGCCAATACAGAATTTGAAAAAATGGATGCCCAAAAAATCTAATGGAATGACCTTTGAGAAAATTGAAATAATGAAATACTGCATACAATGATAATTAAAATTGTTCTATACACCTAGAATAGGGAATGTTGACAAACAAAAACTGTACATGCCACCATGTATATTTACAGGGAGCTAGGTAATGAGGCCAGTTTACCACTGTCTTTATTCTAGACAGTTTTCTATCTGTACCAAAGCCACTGTGTCCTATATAGTTGTCTACCACTGGTCCAACCCACCTTGGAGACAGAACCTGGCAACCATCTGTTTGCAAGAACTAGCAATGGACAAATGTTGCCATTGAGAAGTACACAGATGCATAAAGTGGTATCTCAACCATGGGCACAAGTGGAGAAAACCACCAGTATTTCCACTCATCAAATATGCTGGTCACAAGCCCAATTCAATCATCTGAGCAAAGACAAACAGAAACTTTCATTCTAAGCAATTTTTCTGCTAAAACATAAGTCCATAATTTTTTCTTTAATAATCAGAAAGAAAAAAAGATTATTTTTTTAAGCCTTCCTCCTCACATGTCAAGTTCTAACTCATGAAACCACTCCAGTCAACTGAATGTCTGCTTTTATTCCTATTTTTCTATTCAACTGTTACTGTCCATGCTTTATAAACCCATCCAACTTTTCTATCCAGACCTTATAAACCCATCCAACTTTTCTATCCAGACCTTATAAACCCATCCAACTTTTCTATCCAGACCTTATAAACCCATCCAACTTTTCTATCCAGACCTTATAAACCCATCCAACTTTTCTATCCTGACCTTATAAACCCATCCAACTTTTCTATCCAGACCTTATAAACCCATCCAACTTTTCTATCCTGACCTTATAAACCCATCCAACTTTTCTATCCTGACCTTATAAACCCATCCAACTTTTCTATCCAGACCTTATAAACCCATCCAACTTTTCTATCCAGACCTTATAAACCCATCCAACTTTTCTATCCAGACCTTATAAACCCATCCAACTTTTCTATCCTGACCTTATAAACCCATCCAACTTTTCTATCCAGACCTTATAAACCCATCCAACTTTTCTATCCTGACCTTATAAACCCATCCAACTTTTCTATCCAGACCTTATAAACCCATCCAACTTTTCTATCCTGACCTTATAAACCCATCCAACTTTTCTATCCTGACCTTATAAACCCATCCAACTTTTCTATCCAGACCTTATAAACCCATCCAACTTTTCTATCCAGACCTTATAAACCCATCCAACTTTTCTATCCTGACCTTATAAACCCATCCAACTTTTCTATCCTGACCTTATAAACCCATCCAACTTTTCTATCCAGACCTTATAAACCCATCCAACTTTTCTATCCAGACCTTATAAACCCATCCAACTTTTCTATCCTGACCTTATAAACCCATCCAACTTTTCTATCCTGACACTAACCCATCCAACAGACCTTATCCAACTTGCATGCATGTTACCTATGTGTTGAGTGTGTGTGTTACCTACATCATCTGCAGGTTTGTCAACTGCTGTGTGGAGGAGGGGGGGGGGGAGTAGACAACAGACCCAGATACAAATGTGTTTCCAGGAAGGTTTGACAGAAACATTCTAAAGAGAATATCACAAACATTAGTAACAATCTTTTGAAAATTTGCATAAGTGAGTTTTTATGAACCTCCAGAAAGAAAGTGACATCCAATTAAACCATGTGACATCATTCAATCTGAGCAGCAGCTGAGCAACACGTCTTCTGTCCTACACAGATTTTAGACTTTCTCCTGTTGGCCTTCAGTCCTGCACATTACAGCAGGCAAGGGAAAGAGCCACCTCATACAAGCCATTATCAAGTTACATGCTTTCAAGCTTACACTTCATGCTTCCATTTTTTTTTTAAACAGTTAAGTACATGTAAAGCTAGAGTAAATTTCTGGGGCTAAATTAAAATTTCAATCATAATGCAATTCAAATAGGAGGGAAATACCATAGGTGGCCAGCTCAAGTGGTCAGAACCAAAGGTTAAATACCAATTATAAAAATTAGGAAATTACAGTGGCCAAATCAGAACAGAACATGATGAAATACTGGAATAATATTCAAACCTCTAGCTATGCCAGATTTTTTTAAAAGTTCAAGCTATACAGGCAGGCAAAACTGACCATTTAAAAACACATCATATGATAAAACAATGATAAAATGAATCGTTGCCATGTGCATCACAGTATTGCTACTGGATACCAATGTTCTAACTGGCTCCAGCTCTTGACTTAGCTACCCTATCCTTGCCATACAAAACCCAGCTAGTTCATTCAAAGCCTCATGCTGCTAGTGTGGTGGATTAGAATAAACCTGATCGCTATCATCACAGGAACTTTCACCTAGATTCACACTGTCAAAGTCTGGTCATTCAATTGTTAATGATGCAGCTTTTCAAATACTTTTTTTTAAGGAGCAAAATTAAATTTTGTTACCTTGATAAATATTTTGACAAAGTTAAATTTTCTTATTTAATACCAAGAATTCTTCACAAAGTAAAATTTTATTACTAAGATACCAAATATTTTCACAAATTTTAATTTAGTTACTAAGATACCAAATATCTTGACAAATTTGAATTCTGTTACTAAGATACCAAATATTTTGATAAAATTGAATTCTGTTACTAAGATACCAAATATCTTGACAAATTTGAATTCTGTTACTAAGATAGCAAATATTTTGATAAATTTGAATTATGTTACTAAGAAACAAAATATTTTGACTAATTCAACCAAACTGAAATATCTTACAAAAACCAACCCAGCACCATCCTATCCTACCTACAATGGTGGCCCTACCAAGATCTTGTAATCAATTTAGCAGTAATAGTGAGCTTGCATGCTTTGTGGGAGCAGTTAGTAGCTGTCTAGTTGATTGCAGTCCCATGGCATTCTGGGTAAGCAGCAGTGATGCACAAACAATTGGTTAAGATGACTAGAGGACAGCAGATGTTAACCAAACGTCCCGCCTAAAATGCCCACCAAGATGATGATGAGGATGCATACACAGATGATGATCATAATTTTCTTCTGCAAAAAAAAATGTTTGTAGAGTTAGTTTTTTTAGTAGTAGCATTCTGGTTTGAGTTACAGAATTGTGGGTCTGTTTATGGCTATTCAACTATTTTCATTTTAAGTCTACATTCAACATTGTTGTAATAATTTAAATTAATATACATGTCATTAAACTTTGCTGCTAAATCTATAGATCTCTAAAAATTAAGTACATAAACATTAATAATGATAAGCTCTTAAACTTAAATGCATTAAAGAAAAAAGTTTTTTAAAATGATGTTCAAATTAGTAAATCATGTTCCAGAAATCTTTATTTTTTTTGCAATGAGATCTCTCAACATCATTTATCTTTTCCACCTAATTTTTTGTGAATTTTAAACATCACTAATTAAAGGGTTTTTATAATCAATTTTTCTACTTTTTAATATTTATAATCTAAATATTGTAAAGATAATTGAGTATAAGTTTCAAAAAGTGGGATAAGTTAGTACTTTATTACTCTTTTAGTTAGGTTAATTATAATTAAACGAGAACCAATCAGGAGAAAAATATTTGCTCTAAAACCCACTCAGTGACTTAATTAGGTTTAAATGCTCAATGAATTAACTCGACAGTTGAAGCTTGTTGTTCCTCTTTTGGTTCAATGAATTAACTCTACAGTTGATTAATTTTGAATGATTAATTTATCTAGTTAGATTTAACCACAAACCCACCTACAAAAATATTGTCCTAAGTCAAATTAAAAAAATTTGATTAACTAGTTTTATATAGGCCTAGATCTATGCACTAAAAAGAAGAGAAAAAATAAAAAATAACGCAACACTTTAAAATATTCAGAATGTTTATGTTCTAAAAGTCACTAGAAAAATATGAGTTACCTTCCTGCTGCAAACATAACCACAACATTTACATCCAGGTCATAGTTCATCTAAAAATAGTGGCTACACATATTACAATATTGAACAGTTAATCCATCAAAAACTAAATGGAAAGAAAGCCAGGCAAATGAAACAGTCTAAGCTAGCAGGCTACTGCACACTGGATCTGCTCAACACTAGGGGGGGGGGGGGTTCATCTGCCTCACCACCCTTGTGTCACCATCTCTGCCTACTGTCACCATGTCTAACCAGTGTCACCATCTCTGCCTACTGTCACCATGTCTAACCAGTGTCACCATCTCTGCCTACTGTCACCATGTCTAACCAGTGTCACCATCTCTGCCTACTGTCACCATGTCTAACCAGTGTCACCATCTCTGCCTACTGTCACCATGTCTAACCAGTGTCACCATCTCTGCCTACTGTCACCATGTCTAACCAGTGTCACCATCTCTGCCTACTGTCACCATGTCTAACCAGTGTCACCATCTCTGCCTACTGTCACCATGTCTAACCAGTGTCACCATGGTCTTGGTTCAAACTACCACTAGATACCACACACACACAGTTGGTCATGTGTGCCACAGTTATTGTCTTGGCACACTTGTCAGTGACGCTACACGCATGTGGGTGTTATATTGGCACACTTCTCAGTGACGCTACACGCATGTGGGTTATCTTGGCACACTTGGCAGTTGAGTGACACTACACACATGCACACAAAAACATCTAGAGTTAAAAATAAAAACAACACCAGAGTAAAGTGTTTATTTAGATTTATTTAATAGTATTAATGACAAAATTACCAGTGTATTCTTGAATACAGTGTTGGTCCTAGAGGACTATGGGCATCTACAGTCATGAATATTATACTGTCACTGGGGATGAATGTCCTAGTCATTGGATGAATATCCTAGTCATTGGATGAATGTCCTACTGTCACTGGGGATGAATGTCCTACTGTCACTGGGGATGAATGTCCTACTGTCACTGGGGATGAATGTCCTACTGTCACTGGGGATGAATGTCCTACTGTCACTGGGGATGAATGTCCTAGTCATTGGATGAATGTCCTACTGTCACTGGGGATGAATGTCCTACTGTCACTGGGGATGAATGTCCTACTGTCACTGGGGATGAATGTCCTACTGTCACTGGGGATGAATGTCCTACTGTCACTGGGGATGAATGTCCTACTGTCACTGGGGATGAATGTCCTACTGTCACTGGGGATGAATGTCCTACTGTCACTGGGGATGAATGTCCTACTGTCACTGGGGATGAATGTCCTACTGTCACTGGGGATGAATGTCCTACTGTCACTGGGGATGAATGTCCTACTGTCACTGGGGATGAATGTCCTACTGTCACTGGGGATGAATGTCGTACTGTCACTGGGGATGAATGTCGTACTGTCACTGGGGATGAATGTCCTACTGTCACTGGGGATGAATGTCCTACTGTCACTGGGGATGAATGTCGTACTGTCACTGGGGATGAATGTCCTACTGTCACTGGGGATGAATGTCCTACTGTCACTGGGGATGAATGTCCTACTGTCACTGGGGATGAATGTCCTACTGTCACTGGGGATGAATGTCCTACTGTCACTGGGGATGAATGTCCTACTGTCACTGGGGATGAATGTCCTACTGTCACTGGGGATGAATGTCCTACTGTCACTGGGGATGAATGTCGTACTGTCACTGGGGATGAATGTCCTACTGTCACTGGGGATGAATGTCCTACTGTCACTGGGGATGAATGTCCTACTGTCACTGGGGATGAATGTCCTACTGTCACTGGGGATGAATGTCCTACTGTCACTGGGGATGAATGTCGTACTGTCACTGGGGATGAATGTCCTAGTCATTGGATGAATGTCCTACTGTCACTGGGGAAGAATGTCCTACAATCACTGGATGGGGGAATATGTTAGAGACCCGGCTAATGTCAATGAACTAAAACCCATCAGGAATGTAATGTTAAGTCATGTCAATGTAATAAGGCCACTGTAATCGAGCAAACATGGGAAGAGTCAAGTCAGCAGTTTAAAACATGCAAGAAATGGTACCATAAGGGATGTACACAAATGGTACCATAAGGGATGTACACAAATGGTACCATAAGGGACGTACACAAATGGTACCATAAGGGACGTACACAAATGGTACCATAAGGGACGTACACAAATGGTACCATAAGGGACGTACACAAATGGTACTATAAGGGATGTACACAAATGGTACCATAAGGGATGTACACAAATGGTACCATAAGGGATGTACACAAATGGTACCATAAGGGATGTACACAAATGGTACCATAAGGGACGTACACAAATGGTACCATAAGGGACGTACACAAATGGTACCATAAGGGATGTACTTTGTTCACAAATGGTACCATATGGGATGTACACAAATGGTACCATAAGGGATGTACACAAATGGTACTATAAGGGATGTACACAAATGGTACCATAAGGGATGTACACAAATGGTACCATAAGGGATGTACACAAATGGTACCATAAGGGATGTACACAAATGGTACCATAAGGGATGTACACAAATGGTACTATAAGGGATGTACACAAATGGTACCATAAGGGATGTACACAAATGGTACCATAAGGGATGTACACAAATGGTACCATAAGGGATGTACACAAATGGTACTATAAGGGATGTACACAAATGGTACCATAAGGGATGTACACAAATGGTACCATAAGGGATGTACACAAATGGTACCATAAGGGATGTACACAAATGGTACCATAAGGGATGTACACAAATGGTCCAATGAAGACCAAAAGAATGAATGTGTTTTTACTTTAGTATGGTATATGGTATGGACTGCACTGGTTGTAGATACACATGAGGTGTAGGTGAAAACATGTATAAAAAAAGGGCAGATTTTGCTTAGATAAATAAGTAAAGAATACATGAGGGTCTCCAGCCCTCTCACAGCCTTGATGCTACACTTAAAACAACAATGTCAAGGCCAGCCCCACTAGAAACATGGAATATATTCTTGAGCTGGTAATACCTCAGTTGTATGGCATGACAACTAGTATGGCATGACAACTAGTATGACATGGCATGATAAGCTGTATGGCATGACAACTAGTATGACATGACATGACAAGCTTTGGTCCACTTCTATCACACAGACTTGACATACGTGGTCCACCATAACTCACTTTCAAACATACAACAATATCAACAACCTCCTACACCTAAATTCTGTCCTTTCAAATGACCAGCATTTTTTTCAAACTGGTCTTATTCAACAGAATGACTAAAAACTAAGTATCCCATTTCATGTAGGCTACTTTAGTACTTATCCCTAACAAATACAACATGGTTTAATACTGAAACTCCACCTACAAAAAAAAATCTTTGTGCATTTTTGGTAAATAAAAATGTCAAGACTAGACAGAGTAAACAAACGAAATCAAGTGAGTGGCATGCACACAACATGGAGGCTGGAATATTGCACATACAAGAGGCCTTTAGGCCAGTAACTCTGGTTTTTTAAGTAAGGGAGGTAATGCTTGATTAAGTAGAGAAACACAAACCTTGCTTTAGGCTTGAGATATTTCAAATAATATAATTTGACAATTTTTGGATCTTCAATTAGATAACCTGTATGATAGGTTGAACACAATAATGCTGAAACTTGGGGTGAAGTATAGGCCTATAGAATCTCATCAACAAGTCCAAAGACTAGCTAGGCAAATAGATTGGCCTAACTGTACACATTTTATCAACTAGCAAATCACTTGAACCAATAGCAAGTTATAAAAGAAATCACTGTACTCTACACAAACTTGTGCATATTGCAGTTCTATCACTGCATACACAAACTTGTGCATACACTACAGACTACTAAAGAGTTTGTTCTTTTCTCATCAGATTCAGCAGTCAGAAAACTGCAGTTACTATATACAGAACACAATGGCAATTCAACATTTCCGACAGACTGAATACATTAGTGCTACTTATCCCTTTACAGCCTGACATAGAAACTATTTCCCGTATGGCTAGGTAAAAAGAAAACCACAGAAAAAATTATTTCAAAATATTTCCATTCGGTAGAAAAACAAAAAGCAATATATAGGAAATGTTTGAAGTTTTTTATGTATGTGATTAGTTGGCTGAATAATAATATAAATAAATAAAAATAGCGGGATTTTTTTTTCAGAAAATGCTCAAAATAGAAATTTTTTTTAAACAAAAATTTATGAACTAAAGATAATGTAATATAATCACTGAAAGTTCTTTCAATATCACTGTGTGTTACATTCTAAACAAAGCCCAATTCTCTCCCCCCCCCCCCCCCCCCCCCCCCCCCCAAGCACAGGCTGGTGAAGGCAGCAGAGGCATTTGAATAAATATTATGTTCACAAATTATATTGGGAGTATCTTACAAATCTGGTTGTGAATCTACTTGTAAATAAACATACTAGACATCTAGTTGGTGCCAACATGGACACTAAACTCTCTGTCTGCCACATGGGACTGTAAAGAACTCAAGCAAATCAACATGTGTCTAACAAAAACCACTTGCTGCTAGTTATAGAAGGAACAGCTGGTTCAACCAATGACTGGGGCATGGAAGTCAAAGATCAACCACTTCATTTCACTAGAATTTATAGAATGGGTGGGTGGGGGGAGGCGGGAGACGATGTCTACACCTCACTGGATTTCTGTTAGAAGGTTTAGGAGGGGTTTGGTTCCACCCATCTGCTTCTACAGCAAAAGGTCAGGGTGTACAAATGATGGGAACATGCATACAAACTGTACAATAACTTCCACAGGAGCATCAAACTCCTCAATACAATGACTAGCTGCAACATTTTCTAAGCCTCTTGTCAACATCAACAGATTTATAAAAGACAATTCAACTTACATCAACAGTATTCAAGTTACAGTAAAAACCTAGTATAAAAATAAAATATTCCCAAGGTAAAAAAAAAAAATGGACAGAATTTTTTATCATAGCACCACTGCAATGGGCTCAGAAAAAATTCAAGCCTTGTAAAATGGAAGCTACGGTCAAGCAAGTGGTTCTGTCTGGGGCTGCTCTATGCTACACTAGGCTAGAGTTGAAATAAGGATGATGGCTATTATGACCAGTAGGATCACGATACACACAATTATCAAAATCTTTTTCTGAAATAAAATAAGGGAAATAAAAAACACAATCAACAAAAATGAAGGCAACATAAGAATGCTACAACAATTCTGGCTAATAAAAATATAGAAAGCACATGACAGATACATCCATTACTACAGCAATTGGTTTACAACATTTATTTTTAATTATATTTGAGTGAGATGGTAACTTATCCAAGTCTTAAGTTGAAATATTGATGCTAAACTCAGAGATGGATGTTCAAACATTGATTTGATTACAAACACTATCTAATTACTAACAGTAGTTACAGACAACATATAAGATGCTTGAAAGTCAAACTAGCCGCGTCTACTTACCCGCCTAGCTTTGCTCTGGTATTTCACAGCTTTCTTGGTGTCCATCTTGGCTGTCTCTATATAGTCTACAGCTTGCTCCACATTGTATTCAATCCTGTCTATCATCTCTCCCTGGAACAATAAGCTAGGGCATTTCAGCTAGGGCATCTTACACTACAGCTAGGCCATCTTACACTACAGCTAGGCCATCTTACACTACAGCTAGGCCATCTTACACTACAGCTAGGCCATCTTACACTACAGCTAGGCCATCTTAAACTACAGCTAGGCCCTTACACTACAGCTAGGCCATCTTACACTACAGCTAGGCCATCTTACACTACAGCTAGGCCATCTTACACTACAGCTAGGCCATCTTACACTACAGCTAGGCCATCTTACACTACAGCTAGGCCATCTTACACTACAGCTAGGCCATCTTACACTACAGCTAGGCCATCTTACACTACAGCTAGGCCCTTACACTACAGCTAGGCCATCTTACACTACAGCTAGGCCATCTTACACTACAGCTTGGCCATCTTACACTACAGCTAGGCCATCTTACACTACACTGGTCAATGTCTGATCTTACCTGGCTCTCCACCAACATTGCCATATCCATAAACATATCATGCAGATCTCGTATAGACGTCTCTAGCTTCATGATGTCATTATGTCTTGCTTCAATATCTGCTAATGTTTGTTTAGCTTGTTGTGTTTCCATTATAATCTGAGATCAACAAATTCAAGGAAACATAAGAGCTAGGATGGCAATAAATTGATGAGTCAAATATACCCAAGGCATGATGCAAGCAACTATCTTTGCCTACACTAAGTCAAACATTTGCTGGACAGCAAGGCCATGCACTCTTATTGGCATCATTCAAGGAGTTTCTCTTGTTTTTTCTTTGCTAGTCTCCCTTGCCATATTTTGAAATAATAAAAGATGTAATGGTGGTCAGTAATCTATCAACAGGACAGCAGCATGTACTGAACATGTCATCAAATGTCAGCATGTACTGAACATGTCATCAAATGTCAGCATGTACTGAACATGTCATCAAATGTCAGCATGTACTGAACATGTCATCAAATGTCAGCATGTACTGAACATGTCATCAAATGTCAACATGTACGGAACATGTCATCAAATGTCAGCATGTACTGAACATGTCATCAAATGTCAGCATGTACTGAACATGTCATGTCAGCATGTACTGAACATGTCATCAAATGTCAGCATGTACTGAACATGTCATCAAATGTCAGCATGTACTGAACATGTCATCAAATGTCAGCATGTACTGAACATGTCATCAAATGTCAGCATGTACTGAACATGTCATCAAATGTCAGCATGTACTGAACATGTCATCAAATGTCAGCATGTACTGAACATGTCATCAAATGTCAGTGTGTACTGAACATGTCATCAAATGTCAGTGTGTACTGAACATGTCATCAAATGTCAGTGTGTGTTGAACATGTCATCAAATGTCAGCATGTACTGAACATGTCATCAAATGTCAGCATGTACTGAACATGTCATCAAATGTCAGCATGTACTGAACATGTCATCAAATGTCAGCATGTACTGAACATGTCATCAAATGTCAGCATGTACTGAACATGTCATCAAATGTCAGCATGTACTGAACATGTCATCAAATGTCAGTGTGTACTGAACATGTCATCAAATGTCAGTGTGTACTGAACTTGTCATCAAATGTCAGTGTGTACTGAACATGTCATCAAATGTCAGCGTGTACTGAACATGTCATCAAATGTCAGCATGTACTGAACATGTCATCAAATGTCAGCATGTACTGAACATGTCATCAAATGTCAGCATGTACTGAACATGTCATCAAATGTCAGCATGTACTGAACATGTCATCAAATGTCAGCATGTACTGAACATGTCATCAAATGTCAGTGTGTACTGAACATGTCATCAAATGTCAGCATGTACTGAACATGTCATCAAATGTCAGCATGTACTGAACATGTCATCAAATGTCAGCGTGTACTGAACATGTCATCAAATGTCAGCATGTACTGAACATGTCATCAAATGTCAGCATGTACTGAACATGTCATCAAATGTCAGCATGTACTGAACATGTCATCAAATGTCAGCATGTACTGAACATGTCATCAAATGTCAGCATGTACTGAACATGTCATCAAATGTCAGTGTGTACTGAACATGTCATCAAATGTCAGTGTGTACTGAACTTGTCATCGAATGTCAGTGTGTACTGAACATGTCATCCAATGTCAGCATGTACTGAACATGTCATCAAATGTCAGTGTGTACTGAACATGTCATCAAATGTCAGTATGTATGCAACATGTCATCAAATGTCAGTGTGTACTGAACATGTCATCAAATGTCAGTGTGTACTGAACATGTCATCAAATGTCAGTGTGTACTGAACATGTCATCAAATGTCAGTGTGTACTGAACATGTCATCAAATGTCAGTGTGTACTGAACATGTCATCAAATGTCAGTATGTATGCAACATGTCATCAAATGTCAGTGTGTACTGAACATGTCATCAAATGTCAGTGTGTACTGAACATGTCATCAAATGTCAGCGTGTACTGAACATGTCATCAAATGTCAGTGTGTGTTGAACATGTCATCAAATGTCAGCATGTACTGAACATGTCATCAAATGTCAGCATGTACTGAACATGTCATCAAATGTCAGCATGTACTGAACATGTCATCAAATGTCAGCATGTACTGAACATGTCATCAAATGTCAGCATGTACTGAACATGTCATCAAATGTCAGCATGTACTGAACATGTCATCAAATGTCAGTGTGTACTGAACATGTCATCAAATGTCAGTGTGTACTGAACTTGTCATCAAATGTCAGTGTGTACTGAACATGTCATCAAATGTCAGCGTGTACTGAACATGTCATCAAATGTCAGCATGTACTGAACATGTCATCAAATGTCAGCATGTACTGAACATGTCATCAAATGTCAGCATGTACTGAACATGTCATCAAATGTCAGCATGTACTGAACATGTCATCAAATGTCAGCATGTACTGAACATGTCATCAAATGTCAGTGTGTACTGAACATGTCATCAAATGTCAGCATGTACTGAACATGTCATCAAATGTCAGCATGTACTGAACATGTCATCAAATGTCAGCGTGTACTGAACATGTCATCAAATGTCAGCATGTACTGAACATGTCATCAAATGTCAGCATGTACTGAACATGTCATCAAATGTCAGCATGTACTGAACATGTCATCAAATGTCAGCATGTACTGAACATGTCATCAAATGTCAGCATGTACTGAACATGTCATCAAATGTCAGTGTGTACTGAACATGTCATCAAATGTCAGTGTGTACTGAACTTGTCATCGAATGTCAGTGTGTACTGAACATGTCATCCAATGTCAGCATGTACTGAACATGTCATCAAATGTCAGTGTGTACTGAACATGTCATCAAATGTCAGTATGTATGCAACATGTCATCAAATGTCAGTGTGTACTGAACATGTCATCAAATGTCAGTGTGTACTGAACATGTCATCAAATGTCAGTGTGTACTGAACATGTCATCAAATGTCAGTGTGTACTGAACATGTCATCAAATGTCAGTGTGTACTGAACATGTCATCAAATGTCAGTATGTATGCAACATGTCATCAAATGTCAGTGTGTACTGAACATGTCATCAAATGTCAGTGTGTACTGAACATGTCATCAAATGTCAGCGTGTACTGAAAATGTCATCAAATGTCAGCATGTACTAAACATGTCATCAAATGTCAGTGTGTACTGACCATGTCATCAAATGTCAACATGTACTGAACATGTCATCAAATGTCAACATGTACTGAACATGTCATCAAATGTCAGCATGTACTGAACATGTCATCAAATGTCAGCTTGTACTGAACATGTCATCAAATGTCAGCATGTACTGAACATGTCATCAAATGTCAGTGTGTACTGAACATGTCATCAAATGTCAGTGTGTACTGAACATGTCATCAAATGTCAGTGTGTACTGAACATGTCATCAAATGTCAGTGTGTACTGAACATGTCATCAAATGTCAGCATGTACTGAACATGTCATCAAATGTCAGTGTGTACTGAACATGTCATCAAATGTCAGTGTGTACTGAACATGTCATCAAATGTCAGTGTGTACTGAACATGTCATCAAATGTCAGTGTGTACTGAACATGTCATCAAATGTCAGTGTGTACTGAACATGTCATCAAATGTCAGCGTGTACTGGACATGTCATCAAATGTCAGTGTGTACTAAACATGTCATCAAATGTCAGTGTGTACTGAACATGTCATCAAATATCAGTGTGTACTGAACATGTCATCAAATGTCAGTGTGTACTGAACATGTCATCAAATGTCAACATGTACTGAACATGTCATCAAATGTCAGCATGTACTGAACATGTCATCAAATGTCAGCATGTACTGAACATGTCATCAAATGTCAGTGTGTACTGAACATGTCATCAAATGTCAGCATGTACTGAACATGTCATCAAATGTCAGCATGTAGTATACATGTCATCAAATGTCAGTATGTACTAAACATGTCATCAAATGTCAGTATGTATGCAACATGTCATCAAATGTCAGTGTGTACTGAACATGTCATCAAATGTCAGTGTGTACTGAACATGTCATCAAATGTCAGTGTGTACTGAACATGTCATCAAATGTCAGTGTGTACTGAACATGTCATCAAATGTCAGCGTGTACTGAACATGTCATCAAATGTCAGTGTGTACTGAACATGTCATCAAATGTCTGTGTGTACTGAACATGTCATCAAATGTCAGCGTGTACTGAACATGTCATTAAATGTCAGCACCCATCAACAAGACGTACGTACGTACCCCCTGTGTAAAAATGGCTGGGTTCCCAGACTCTATCATGTCCTCCAGCTCTTCATTGGTTGTGGTTTTTCCAGCTGTAAAAAAAGTTAGGGTGGGTCAAATGTGGCCTAACATTTGATATAAAGTTAGGGTGGGTCAAACAATTGATATAAAGTTAGGGTGGGTCAAACAATTGATATAAAGTTAGGGTGGGTCAAACAATTGATATAAAGTTAGGGTGGGTCAAACAATTGATATAAAGTTAGGGTGGGTCAAACATTTGATATAAAGTTAGGGTGGGTCAAACAATTGATATAAAGTTAGGGTGGGTCAAACAATTGATATAAAGTTAGGGTGGGTCAAACAATTGATATAAAGTTAGGGTGGGTCAAACAATTGATATAAAGTTAGGGTGGGTCAAACAATTGATATAAAGTTAGGGTGGGTTAAATGTGGCCTAACATTTGATATAAAGTTAGGGTGGGTCAAACAATTGATATAAAGTTAGGGTGGGTCAAACAATTGATATAAAGTTAGGGTGGGTCAAACAATTGATATAAAGTTAGGGTGGGTCAAACAATTGATATAAAGTTAGGGTGGGTCAAACAATTGATATAAAGTTAGGGTGGGTCAAACAATTGATATAAAGTTAGGGTGGGTCAAACAATTGATATAAAGTTAGGGTGGGTCAAACAATTGATATAAAGTTAGGGTGGGTCAAACAATTGATATAAAGTTAGGGTGGGTCAAACAATTGATATAAAGTTAGGGTGGGTCAAACAATTAATATAAAGTTGGGTGGGTCAAACAATTGATATAAAGTTAGGGCGGGTCAAACAATTGATATAACATCAAGTTTAACAATACAAAGATCATGTGTAGTTGTGTGCAACAATGGCTAAGTTTTGTCAAATGGTTACAGATACAAGAATGACCTACTGATAGCAAGCTGAGATACAAGAATGACCTACTGATAGCAAGCTGAGAGACAAGAATGGCCTACTGATAGCAAGCTGAGACAAGAATGACCTACTGATAGCAAGATGAGATACAAGAATGACCTACTGATAGCAAGCTGAGAGACAAGAATGACCTACTGATAGCAAGCTGAGAGACAAGAATGACCTACTGATAGCAAGCTGAGAGGCAAGAATGACCTACTGATAGCAAGCTGAGAGACAAGAATGACCTACTGATAGCAAGCTGTCGTTTGATGCGGCCCTTGCACCTCTCTCTGTAGTCAATCTGGCAAGCATTGTAGTCATTCATCACCTCCACAAACTTACGGGATAAGGTGGCATGCTGAAACACAACAGATGGTTAGCCATACTACAGACCTCATGTAGCCAAACTACAGACCTCATGTAGCCACCTTATGTAGCCACCTCATGTAGCCACCTCATGTAGCCATACTACAGACCTCATGTAGCCACCCCATGTAGCCATACTACAGACCTCATGTAGCCACCTCATGTAGCCATACTACAGACCTCATGTAGCCACCTCATGTAGCCATACTACAGACCTCATGTAGCCACCCCATGTAGCCATACTACAGACCTCATGTAGCCACCTCATGTAGCCATACTACAGACCTCATGTAGCCACCCCATGTAGCCATACTACAGACCTCATGTAGCCACCCCATGTAGCCATACTACAGACCTCATGTAGCCACCCCATGTAGCCATACTACAGACCTCATGTAGCCAAACTACAGACCTCATGTAGCCAAACTACAGATCTCATGTAGCCACCTTATGTAGCCAAACTACAGACCTCATGAAGCCACCCCATGTAGCCAAACTACAGACCTCATGTAGCCAAACTACAGACCTCATGTAGCCACCTTATGTAGCCAAACTACAGACCTCATGTAGCCACCTTATGTAGCCATACTACAGACCTCATGTAGCCACCTTATGTAGCCAAACTACAGACCTCATGTAGCCACCTCATGTAGCCAAACTACAGACCTCATGTAGCCACCTCATGTAGCCAAACTACAGACCTCATGTAGCCAAACTACAGACCTCATGTAGCCACCTTATGTAGCCAAACTACAGACCTCATGTAGCCACCTTATGTAGCCATACTACAGACCTCATGTAGCCAAACTACAGACCTTATATAGCCACCTTATGTAGCCAAACTACAGACCTCATGTAGATAAACTACAGACCTTATATAGCCACCTTATGTAGCCAAACTACAGACCTCATGTAGCCAGACTACAGACCTCATGTAGCCAAACTACAGACCTCATGTAGCCACCCCATGTAGCCAAACTACAGACCTCATGTAGCCACCTCATGTAGCCAAACTACAGACCTCATGTAGCCAGACTACAGACCTCATGTAAATAAACTACAGATCTCATGTAGCCACCCCATGTAGCCAAACTACAGATCTCATGTAGCCAAACTACAGACCTCATGTAGCCAAACTACAGACCTCATGTAGCCAAACTACAGACCTCATGTAGCCACCCCATGTAGCCAAACTACAGACCACATGTAGCCAAACTACAGACCTCATGTAGCCACCCCATGTAGCCATACTACAGACCTCATGTAGCCACCTCATGTAGCCATACTACAGACCTCATGTAGCCAAACTACAGACCCCATGTAGCCATACTACAGACCTCATGTAGCCACCCCATGTAGCCATACTACAGACCTCATGTAGCCACCCCATGTAGCCATACTACAGACCTCATGTAGCCAAACTACAGACCTCATGTAGCCAAACTACAGATCTCATGTAGCCACCTTATGTAGCCAAACTACAGACCTCATGAAGCCACCCCATGTAGCCAAACTACAGACCTCATGTAGCCAAACTACAGACCTCATGTAGCCACCTTATGTAGCCAAACTACAGACCTCATGTAGCCACCTTATGTAGCCATACTACAGACCTCATGTAGCCAAACTACAGACCTTATATAGCCACCTTATGTAGCCAAACTACAGACCTCATGTAGATAAACTACAGACCTTATATAGCCACCTTATGTAGCCAAACTACAGACCTCATGTAGATAAACTACAGACCTCATGTAGCCACCCCATGTAGCCAAACTACAGATCTCATGTAGCCAAACTACAGATCTCATGTAGCCAAACTACAGACCTCATGTAGATAAACTACAGACCTCATGTAGCCACCTTATGTAGCCAAACTACAGACCTCATGTAGCCAAACTACAGACCTCATGTAGCCAAACTACAGACCTCATGTAGCCACCCCATGTAGCCAAACTACAGACCACATGTAGCCAAACTACAGACCTCATGTAGCCACCCCATGTAGCCAAACTACAGACCTCATGTAGCCAAACTACAGACCTCATGTAGCCACCTTATGTAGCCAAACTACAGACCTCATGTAGCCAAACTACAGACCTCATGTAGCCAAACTACAGACCTCATGTAGCCACCCCATGTAGCCAAACTACAGACCACATGTAGCCAAACTACAGACCTCATGTAGCCACCCCATGTAGCCAAACTACAGACCTCATGTAGCCAAACTACAGACCTCATGTAGCCAAACTACAGAACTCATGTAGCCACCCCATGTAGCCACCTCATGTAGCCAAACTACAGATCTCATGTAGCCACCCCATGTAGCCAAACTACAGATCTCATGTAGCCAAACTACAGACCTCATGTAGCCACCCCATGTAGCCAAACTACAGACCACATGTAGCCAAACTACAGACCTCATGTAGCCACCCCATGTAGCCAAACTACAGACCTCATGTAGCCAAACTACAGACCTCATGTAGCCAAACTACAGACCTCATGTAGCCACCCCATGTAGCCAAACTACAGATCTCATGTAGCCACCCCATGTAGCCAAACTACAGACCTCATGTAGCCAAACTACAGACCTCATGTAGCCAAACTACAGACCTCATGTAGCCAAACTACAGACCTCATGTAGCCAAACTACAGACCTCATGTAGCCAAACTACAGACCTCATGTAGCCAAACTACAGACCTCATGTAGCCACCCCATGTAGCCAAACTACAGACCACATGTAGCCAAACTACAGACCTCATGTAGCCACCCCATGTAGCCAAACTACAGACCTCATGTAGCCAAACTACAGACCTCATGTAGCCAAACTACAGACCTCATGTAGCCACCCCATGTAGCCAAACTACAGATCTCATGTAGCCACCCCATGTAGCCAAACTACAGACCTCATGTAGCCAAACTACAGACCTCATGTAGCCAAACTACAGACCTCATGTAGCCAAACTACAGACCTCATGTAGCCAAACTACAGACCTCATGTAGCCAAACTACAGACCTCATGTAGCCACCCCATGTAGCCACCTCATGTAGCCAAACTACAGACCTCATGTAGCCACCCCATGTAGCCAAACTACAGATCTCATGTAGCCACCCCATGTAGCCAAACTACAGACCTCATGTAACCGACACATGTAGCCCCCCCCCCCCCCCCCCCCCCCCCCATGTAGCGACCTACAGGTATGAGAGCCAACCTAAAGCTATCATCGTGTACCTACCCCAGTTGTAATTGCCAATATTGGACTAGAGAACTTACTTGAGTTTTCCTAATTCTGAGATCAGCAGATGACTTGTTTGTGTGCTCTTCTTGTTCAATGTTCTGTTCTATTGTAATTGCCAATATTGGACTAGAGAACTTACTTGAGTTTTCCTAATTCTGAGATCAGCAGATGACTTGTTTGTGTGCTCTTCTTGTTCAATGTTCTGTTCTATTGTAATTGCCAATATTGGACTAGAGAACTTACTTGAGTTTTCCTAATTCTGAGATCAGCAGATGACTTGTTTGTGTGCTCTTCTTGTTCAATGTTCTGTTCTATCACTGAAACAAACCATTCAAACAAAATGTCACCATGTCAAACCAGGGTCATGTTAAACATTATACAGAGGTCGTGTTAAACAAGGACCCCATTAAACAGGGGTCATGTTAATCAGGGACCCCATTAAACAAAGGTCGTGTTAAACAAGGACCCCATTAAACAAAGGCCATGTTAAACAAGGACCCCATTAAACAGGGGTCATGTTAAACAAGGGTCATGTTAAACAGGGACCCCATTAAACAAGGGTCATGTTAAACAAGGACCCCATTAAACAAGGGTCATGTTAAACAAGGACCCCATTAAACAAGGGTCATGTTAAACAGGGACCCCATTAAACAAGGGTCATGTTAAACAAGGACCCCATTAAACAAAGGCCATGTTAAACAGGGACCCCATTAAACAAAGGCCATGTTAAACAAGGACCCCCTTAAACAGGGACCTCATTTAACAAGGGTCATGTTAAAAAAGGACCCCCTTAAACAGGGACCACATTAAACAAGGGTCATGTTAAACAGGGACCCCATTAAACAAAGGTCGTGTTAAACAAGGACCCCCTTAAACAGGGACCTCATTTAACAAGGGTCATGTTAAACAGGGACCCCATTAAACAAGGGTCATGTTAAACAGGGACCCCATTAAACAAGGGTCATGTTAAACAAGGACCCCATTAAACAAAGGCCATGTTAAACAGGGACCCCATTAAACAAGGGTCATGTTAAACAGGGACCCCATTAAACAAAGGCCATGTTAAACAAGGACCCCCTTAAACAGGGACCTCATTTAACAAGGGTCATGTTAAAAAAGGACCCCCTTAAACAGGGACCACATTAAACAAGGGTCATGTTAAACAGGGACCCCATTAAACAAAGGTCGTGTTAAACAAGGACCCCCTTAAACAGGGACCTCATTTAACAAGGGTCATGTTAAACAGGGACCCCATTAAACAAGGGTCATGTTAAACAGGGACCCCATCAAACAAGGGTCGTAAAAAGGGTAAGTAAAAATGCAGCTGTTCCCACCAAGGACCAGCGAGAGACCGTAGCACCAGCCCCGGTACACGGCAAGCAACGGTACACGGCAAGCAACACGGGCGGTCAGTCATTCAACTACTGCTTGGGACGGCCGAGGTCAGGACAGAGAAATATCACAGCACTTGGATGTGGGGGACAGCAGTTGTGTGGCTGTGGGGGACAGCAGTTGTGTGGCTGTGGGTGACAGCAGTTGTGTGGGTGTGGGGGACAGCAGTTGTGTGGGTGTGGGGGACAGCAGTTGTGTGGGTGTAGGGGACAGCAGTTGTGTGGGTGTAGGGGACAGCAGTTGTGTGGGTGTGGGGGACAGCAGTTGTGTGGCTGTGGGGGACAGCAGTTGTGTGGGTGTGGGGGACAGCAGTTGTGTGGGTGTGGGGGACAGCAGTTGTGTGGGTTACAAAAATGGGGGTGGGACTCCCACTCGAGTGAGTGTGTGCGTGTATATGCATCGTGTGCCTGGTTGTGTGTGAGCGCCCAGGATATTTCTCCTTGAAACTAATTTGATATAAGAAAATATCGATCGTCTTAAAAAAACATTTATAGCAGATACGCTAAAAATAGATCAGGAAAATACTTGTCAGATATTTAGCTTGGTGGTAACGTACACAAGATATGGTCGTGTGGGGGAAAGTGTGGGAAGCTGTGTGGGTGTGGTAGTTACGTCCACGCGATATGGTCGTGTGTGGGAAGGTGTGTGGGTGTTGTGTACACAAAACAAGCGTCAATAAGTAATTATGTGATGAGGAAGGATAAATTGGTTGTGGTATGTGGTTGTGGTTGGTTGATGTGGTTGGTTGATGTGGTGATGGTATAGTGTGGCCCCTGTATATATTGGTATGAGCCGTACAGACGTAAAAATCAATGGTCGCCCGCCCCTCGACCTCTGGGGGTGACTAACGTCCAGTGGAGACAACTGGCCTACAGCACACGTGTCTAGTCGGTCTAGAGGCAACATACCACTTCCAGTTACCGGAAAGCATACAAAAATTGAAATGAGCTTTCGCATACAATATATTGTATACACTTGCCATTTTGTCTCCCTATTCTAGCGGTACTCATGCTGTCAGCTTTAAATACCAGAAGGAGAATACGTATCACTTCCGGTAACCGAAAATCGCTCAAAAGTTGATAGAAAACTACAAATGTGATGTAATACTTAAATAGGAAATTAGGTTAACATAACTGAAATGGTACTCAAGTTATTGTGTTTGAAGACACACACGGACAGGATGAGAAAACTCACCCGTCAACATCTGTCAAAATCTGGATTTAGATTTTGACACGATTACAACGCATTCGTTCTATTCGGTATAAGATAGAACGTGGAGGTGTTAAACGGCCAAACGGATTCAAATTTCATACAACTTTTCTGCATGTTAACAATATTTTCTCTACACTCCGTATTCGTGAAAGTTAAAAAATTGCAAGACCGAGATAAAACGACGCAAAAAAAATCCACTCCACACAAAAATCCACCCTGCACCCAAAAACTCGTACAAAGTTTTGATCATGTTGAGAGAAACATTGTACGCCCCATCACTCAAGCACCACCCCCTCCTTGACGAAACTAATCGAAGTCAGCCAGTCCCACCATGGCGTGACGTCATGTATGGATGAACGCTTATCACTTGCTACAAACCAACAGCTTGAATAGATGTCACGTGACCGCGTGAGTCATGTGTGACCATCACGTGAGTCATGTGTGACCATCACGTGAGTCATGTGTGACCATCACGTGAGTCATGTGTGACCATCACGCGAGTCATGTGTGACCATCACGTGACCGTGTGATCGTCACGCGATCATTGTTGTCCTACTCTACCCTACATTGACAGAGGCTAATTTTTTGCTCAGGACAACAAAGCGGAAGTGAGCTCCCCTAAATTGTAACGTCTCCCCGTGTCCTAGAGTAAGGGTTGAATGACACTCAGGGGATGGTAACGGCAATTAAGTTAATGAGAGCTCACTTTTCTGTCAGAAAATACAGAGGTGAAAAGTTCTTACAAAATATTTTTTATGAGAACAGTATTTTGAAAAGTATCGAATTCTCTAGATTTTTGCCAAATCAGACAGAGTAAAATATTTCTTCCTGTTACCGGAAATCGCTCAAAATAAGATGAAAACCTACATATAATTTTGTTAGAAATGTCGTCCCACAAACTGAATCGGTACTCAACGTGTTAACACACACCCAGGCATAGACAAATATAGAGAGAAAGATTGCAAAACTGGGTTTTTATAACTCAGGAAGGTGTAACGGGGGGAAGGGGGCTTCCGATTTTGTACACGATTACAATCCTTGCCCTAAACTACGTATACGAGAACGTTCAAACGTCAGCTGTAAGTAAAGTGAGTGAGGTAGCAAAGATTGATCTCAAGGACTGGACATGATCCCGTGCGGTACACCTACAGAAGCATTCGGTCTACGGGAGAACTCACAGATACCGCCCGTACGGCGCCTCATCCAAACATCCGCCTCAAGGGCTTGATTCACATCACAACACTATTTGGTGCTAGGCTTCTAGTCACGTGATAAGCTGTGTGTGTGTGTAAACAATGAGCTGTCGCGTGTAGCATAACAGATGGTCGCATTGATTTGAGCTGGGATTATTGCAGTCAAAGGTGATACTACAAGTGTCAGCTAATATATCCTTTACTGCTGTACCAACAACCTATGTGTCCTCTACTGCCTGCTGTACCAACAACCTATGTGTCCTCTACTGTTGTACCAACAACCTATGTGTCCTCTACTGCTGTACCAACAACCTATGTGTCCTCTACTGCCTGCTGTACCAACAACCTGTCCTCTACTGTTGTACCAACAACCTATGTGTCCTCTACTGCTGTACCAACAACCTATGTGTCCTCTACTGCTGTACCAACAACCTATGTGTCCTCTACTGCTGTACCAACAACCTATGTGTCCTCTACTGCTGTACTAACAACCTATGTGTCCTCTACTGCCTGCTGTACCAACAACCTATGTGTCCTCTACTGCCTGCTGTACCAACAACCTATGTGTCCTCTACTGTTGTACCAACAACCTATGTGTCCTCTACTGTTGTACCAACAACCTATGTGTCCTCTACTGCTGTACTAACAACCTATGTGTCCTCTACTGCCTGCTGTACCAACAACCTATGTGTCCTCTACTGCCTGCTGTACCAACAACCTATGTGTCCTCTACTGTTGTACCAACAACCTATGTGTCCTCTACTGTTGTACCAACAACCTATGTGTCCTCTACTGCTGTACCAACAACCTATGTGTCCTCTACTGCTGTACCAACAACCTATGTGTCCTCTACTGTTGTACCAACAACCTATGTGTCCTCTACTGCTGTACCAACAACCTATGTGTCCTCTACTGCTGTACCAACAACCTATGTGTCCTCTACTGTTGTACCAACAACCTATGTGTCCTCTACTGCTGTACCAACAACCTATGTGTCCTCTACTGTTGTACCAACAACCTATGTGTCCTCTACTGCTGTACCAACAACCTATGTGTCCTCTACTGTTGTACCAACAACCTATGTGTCCTCTACTGCCTGCTGTACCAACAACCTATGTGTCCTCTACTGTTGTACCAACAACCTATGTGTCCTCTACTGCTGTACCAACAACCTATGTGTCCTCTACTGCTGTACCAACAACCTATGTGTCCTCTACTGCTGTACCAACAACCTATGTGTCCTCTACTGCTGTACCAACAACCTATGTGTCCTCTACTGCTGTACCAACAACCTTTGTGTCCTCTACTGCTGTACCAACAACCTATGTGTCCTCTACTGCCTGCTGTACCAACAACCTATGTGTCCTCTACTGCCTGCTGTACCAACAACCTATGTGTCCTCTACTGCTGTACCAACAACCTATGTGTCCTCTACTGTTGTACCAACAACCTATGTGTCCTCTACTGCTGTACCAACAACCTATGTGTCCTCTACTGTTGTACCAACAACCTATGTGTCC